CAGCTCTTTAACCCTCTCATGTTTGTTTGCCTTTTTTTTTTTTCTTTTTTTTCTTATTTGTGTCAGAGTCACAGGACTAAGGTGATTCAAGGAAACATCAGAACACCCAGAATCACTGTAAGCTTCCTATGCTGACCTTCTCCCCTGCCTCTGTGCTCACCAACTTCTCTGGTCTTAACATTCACCCTTGGAGCTAGTCTGGAAGTGTCCTTACTTTTGAAGATAGGGAGGTAGAACTTGAGTAAATGCTATTCGCCTCATGAAATAGTATACAGGCTTAGCCCATAGGGTTTGGTTCTTCAGTAGCACATACATGGCTATATTCTTTTTGATAAGGAAGACCATAAATGCTAAAAATTCTACTAGGCTACTCAATTCTATTGCCTGCCCAGTTCTGGTTTTTATATTAATTAGTTGAATCTCTTTAGCAAAAGATTCAGATCTCTGTACCTCATCTCATGTTCAGAGCTGATTCCATTATGCAGGTATCTGGACTCTAGCCTATCACATTTTTAGACCAAAAATTGTAATCTGCTGTTTCTCAGCAAAGCCTTGCTCTCTACAGAGCTTACTGTGTGCTGGTACTTACAGAGTACTATTGTGAAGAGACCCACTGCAAATAGTGAAAGAGCCACAAGGGCTTCTAAGTTAGCTTGCCAGTCTTGCTGCCCATGGTGAGGTATTTGGCTCTAAGTTTCAGGTGATCTCTCTCCCTCCCCATCTCTCTTTCTCTCTCCCTCCCTATGTCATCAACCATTAAGAAGGAAGAGCCCAGGCCTTCTGTTTGGATTAATCTTAATGCTGGAGTCTGATTACTATTCTCACTTCCTTTGAAATAAGCAAATATGTCTTCTTTCCTCCAGTCTCTCACCTTAGATGCATCCTGACTATCAGGAGGCAAGGGAAAGAAGGCTGATTATCCTTTTGTATGTGACCCTGGCCTGTCGGGATACATACCATTTTATCTACAATGAATTTGTGCTAGTTTAAAGGTCTTCTTGCCTTCTTAATGGAAATACTGTTTCCTTTTTCTCGTTTTTAAAAAAAAATGCTTCTAGTCTATCTTTCCTCTGCCCTTCTACCTCCCCATCCTACCTCCAATTTGAGCACAGCTCCCCATGGCCGCACACTCCTGCAAAGCTTTTTTGCTGCTTGGCTTTTCTCTGAACAGATCTAAAATTGCTGCTCCTGTGATTTTCTCCAAATTAACTTTGTCATGGTTCTAAAAAAAAAGAAATAAAAATGCATTGTTGCATTAAGCTTTTTTAATAAAGGAAAATTATGGAAAGAAAATAGGCAACACCAGCAAATTATATGTGGACAGATCCTAAACTATATATACATATATATATATATATATAAATATATATAAAACTAATCATCTAGTTCTCACTGTCATCTTACTGAAAGGAAAGAAAACCTCTAAGAATTACCATTTCTGAGAAGCTCTTGGAAATCTTTATGTCTAAGTGATTGTATTAGATCAGCAATAATGACTGTGTAATCTCAAAAGACAAATAAAATATTCTTCAAATGGATTCTTATTTTGGATTCTTGCTTTTGTAAACTAGGTATTTGGAGATAAGACTGGGCCACAAGCGAGGGGGAGCCTACTACAGCAAGAATGTGAAAAGGTGAAGCAGTTACCAATAGACATGTTTAAGTAATAATTCCCTGGAGATCCTTGTTCCACACAGGGCCACTCCCCTAATAAATATCTTGTCCCTCCCACCAGCCCATCCCACCATGACATTCATTCTAGCTCTGTGTGTAAAGAAGCAAAAGAACCACTACCCTGGGGAGTTGAGGACAATAGGTTTAATTAAGGTACAGAAACTAAAGTGTGGTTCTACATTCCTCAAGCCCTCTTTCCGCTTTCCTTAACTGGAGAGCACAGGAAGTCAACATCCCTACAATTTGGGATCAAAGGACCCAGACACTGAGGACCCGAATATATCCAGGCAAATTAGCTAGAGGTTTGTCCCTAAAACGGGTAACCTGACTAAGTAGATAATTAATTCAGTTGCCTATTCTTTCTCAACTACCAGCAGGCTAGCTTTCTTCTTTAGTTAACCTAAACTCTGCATCTTGTGGGCAAGAGGTTTTATTCCCTATCAGAATCTTCTGCCACTTTGACTACTGTTTATTTAAATGAAGGGGCTGCAGGACTAGAATAGTCTGGGCAGTCGGTAGTGTCTCAAACTGGTGCCATTCCTTTTAAGAGAGAATGCAGCTGCTAGCAATGAAGCCCATGAGTCAGCTGGCTGGAATTGTTCCCCTACAGCAGAGTTTGATCTCTCTTGTGAAGAATGGGATGAGTGCCTAGGTCTTAGTTTTAGACTCACAGGGTCAGCCCAGGCTACCCCCTGCTAAAGTGAGTTTCTCCACCTCACAGTATTGTAGAAAGAGCTTGGACCTTGAATCAGGCTAATTTGGACTTGAACCCCCACCTCTGCGAAGTTGTATAATTTGGTTAAATTATATAACCAATCAGAGCCTCAATTTTCTTGCCTGTAAAATGGATAATGCTTATCTCATAGGGTAGAGATTTAATATCCTGTTTTATAACAAATACTGCTTAAAGAGCCTGGCACACTGCTTACTACATTACCATCACTTTCTTGACTCAGTCTAGGGTCCTACAGCCTCCATTGTATCATTACACCCACACATGCCTTTTACAGAGAAAAGAGGGTATTATATCCTTTTTCTCCTATATTACCCTAGCTGCCTAATCTTGAAAACAAGGTACTTTAAGACTTCTGCTTTCTCTCTCTCTCTCTCTCTCTCTCTCTCTCTCTCTTTCTCTTTCTTTCTCTCTTTCTTTCTTTTATTGGTGCCAGGGATCAAACTTGGCCCTTGTGTTTGAGAGGCAGGCAGTGCAACCACTGGGCAAAATCCCCAGTACTGCATTATATTTTTAAGCGTCTTTAGTCCTGGTTGCCTCTATTTAATCAATGATTTGACCTCCATGGATTAAAGTGCTTAAATGAAAGAGGAGAATTTTGATCCTTGTAGCTATACCCATTTATACTTTCAGCCCTCACCAACAGCCTGAGTTTAGGGGTAAAACCTGAGTTTTAGGACAAGGGAAATTAGTAGTGTAGGTTTTTAAATAAACATTTAAAATAACCCAACCCTGGAGCCATCTCTGCAAAATTGAAAGACATGTTTGTAGACCCTTATTAGTTCCCATGTATGGATGCCTCTGTGATCAGTTGTATTGATGACTGCCACCTTAGCTAAAAGAAATTTCATGTGTTCCAGTTTCATGGCCTATAATTGTTTCAAAGTTTTCAGCTAATCTGTGGTTTTGTGTTACTTCTACCCCCCTCCCAGGTACCTTCTGACAAGTTCTGAATATCTGGGCCTATATTGAACAGATAGATCTTTACTGTCTTCCATTCTACTGAACTACAGAAGGGATCATGGTTTAAAGGTTCTCCTCTGTTGATTGTAATCTCCACAGCACCAGTTTTTCAGATCTGTTCTCTAAAAGTAAAGCCAGATGGAGCTCTAGGCTCAGGAGTTGGCTTTAGATAGAGGGCAGAGGGGAGCTGAGTGCTATCCCCAATCCTCCCAATAAATCCATCTCCGTCTCTTGCCTTAGGTAGGGATAGGCAGGAAAAGGGACAAAGCCTCAAGACTGGCTAGAGTGGGGATTTCTACCACTGTTGGGGATACGACTGATTGATGAAGTACAAAGGAATATGAAGTTCTGGGCTTTCCTAGAGATCTGATTGCTTAGAAGGAGAGGTTTGGGGAAGAATAAGGTAGATAATTATTTTTAATGAGAAACTCAGTGGCCTATGCTGTGCCAGGTTTATCACACTAAAGTGATGAGGTAGATATGGGTTGTGAATTTTAATTTAGGGTATAAGTTTCTAAGAGTCTAACAAGTTATACCCTGAAAAAAAAAATTCAAAGTCAAATACTTTAGGCCTTCAGCCAAAGCCTTTCTTGGAAATTCACTTTAGTTCAATTCTGTAAACTAGGGAATTCCAGCAGATTTTGCAGCCCAAGGACATTTTGTAATATCTAAAAAAATTTTGGTTGTCACAACCAAGGAGAGGGCACTGCCCTCTCTGAGGAGAGCAGGGATTCTGCTAAATATCCTACAATGCGTGGAACAGCCCCTGCCATAATTTCTCAACCCAAAATGCCAATAGTACAGAGGTTGTGAAATTTTTCTGTACTCCCAAACAGCCCAAAAATTTCCAAAGTGTGCTTTCTCTCAAGCCTGCCTTGATCTGTCATCTACCAACTAGCAGAGGGAAGACTGAGGGAGATGTGATTCAAAAGGAATACACTTGTCCTAAAATATTTAAAGGGTAAGCGGGATTTGGGTCTCCTTGTTTTGGGGAGGTGGTGGGAAATGCTGAATTTGGATCCTGGCAAAGTTGGCTTGATACCAACACAACCTGAGTGGCATGAGAATGGTTTTTAAAAAAAGTTTTCTGGAGGAGGAGGAGGGTGTGATAACTAGACTCTGTAAGGAAGGAGTCAACCAAGAAACAAGTTTCCTTCAACACCCTCTGGGCACCGAGACAAGATACAAGATAGTCAAGGTTGCAAGGCACCATGAGAACGAAGGGTAATTCTGTGAGTCCTGGTTTTCTCATCGGTAATAATGGATTCATGAAAATAACCTCTCAGAGAGAGGTACGATAAGGTATCTAGAAAGCTGCGGCGACTCCTGGCACAGCACATTCAACCCCACCTCCTCCCCTTTTTAAAGCAACCCCGCCGCGGATAAGAGACTTGGTCCTATTCATTCCCTTCCTCCTGCTTGTCTGGGGGCTTCCATTAGCCAGAACTGCCAAATATTTACTACAAGCTGCCTTTTAGATAAATTCTAGAGAGGACAGACCACCGACAGACGGCACAGCCTCCACTGCCCCGATAACACTGAACCCTTGACAAGGATCTTAGAAAGGGGAAGGGAAGGAGGCAAGGTGGGGGGCGGTGAGCCTAAGGGTTACAGTCCATTCAAACCACAAGGAAAGAGTACACACAGCAGAGAAGGGCAGATAACCAGAAGCAACCCTCCAGGGCATCCGCGATTTCAGAGAAGTAAAAATACCTCCAATCTCAGCCCTCGGCCCCCAGTCTCCTAGACAGCTCTCTCTCTTGGCCGAGTGCCTTCCCTTTAGAAAGCTTCTGAAGAGGCAGCCTCTAGTTTCCTGCAGTGACTCAGGCCACCTGATGGTGTCAACGCTTCCCTGCGACTAAGCGGGATGTTCCGCAGCCAGGATTTGGGGGTCTTGGTCTGACTGCAGTGGAGCAGGGGGCGGAGACTAGAGCTCCCAGAAAAGGTGCTATTTGAAAGGGATGGGTGCTGAGGTACACCTTGCAAGAAGCAAAGAGCTAACTCGCCAAACTCAAAGCTCGGTGTTCGACAGGTGGAGTGCGGAGCCAACCCAGGAGTGCCTGGCTTCCACCAAAGCCGCAGGAATTTTTTTAAAAAAAAGAAGAAGAAAATAAAAGAATTGGAAGGAGCGGGATATTCCTTGAAAGAGCCCCACTCCTCCTAGTCCAGCGATACGTCGAGCAGCCAATCGCACTGCGGGGCGGAGCAGCGTCGAGTGACCACAGCCAATAGCAACAGAGAGGGTGGGGCCTGGCTCCGGGCGCGCGGCGGTGGGGTCGCCCCAGGCAGAGAGCGCAGAACTGCTGAGGAGAGAGCTCCAGACCAGCCACATGGAGGATCCAACGACACCCGCGGCCGGGAGCTTGCCTGTCAATGGCAACGACAACGGCAATGGCAACTTCAACGGCAACGGCAACGGTAACGGTAACGGCAAAGGGAAACCGGCGGCGCCCAAGGTTCGGGAAGCGTTCCGCAACCAGCGTCGGGAGTCGGAGGTGAGGACCCCGAGCTAGAGCTTCGGTTGGGGCCCGAGAGACTCCCGCGGGCGGGAAGCAGCGCCTGAGGTGATTGGGGCTCGGCTGGAGGGCCCGGTCCCAGTAACCGCAGCGGTACTCAGCTGTGTAGCCGCGACTCCTGCTCCGCGCCTCCCAGCTGGAGTCGGGACTCCCTCTCTCCTCTGGGAGCCGAGAAAGCGCCGTGGCGAGAGTCCTAGATATTTATCGAGGTATTTATTTCACTTGGTCCCTGCACCACCTTGAAGCAGGAATTGGGATCCCGACCGAGGGGAGGGACCCGCGCGGAAGGGTCGCGGGACTACTGGGGCGGGCAGGGGCGGCGCCCAGCGCCCCAGTTGGGATCCAGGTTGGCTGCGGGGGCTCCTGCCTTGCCCTTCGCATCCCTCTTGCAGACGGCGGCCCCTGCCTGTAAGGGTTAAAGGAGACAGGATCCAGGCACTGGCAGTGCCGGAGTGGGTGTTTGAACAGACTGACCTAGGATACCGCTAGGGCTGTGAATGTTTAGGTCTCTTCCTCCTCTTCTAAAAAAGAGATCCTAACTAGGACGATGAAAGGACTGGATTATTTTCACTCTCGCACACCCGCACCCAGCCTGTTTCCATCCACTGGCCAAGTGTAGAATTGGATGAGAGTTGGGATCAGGAGAAGAGACCAGCAAAAGCCTAGCCCTTTCATTTTACAGAGTAAAGGAGACAACTAACTTGTCCAGGATCAGATATCTGGCTTAGTGAGTGTCCAAGAGCACCAAGCTTCTGAATCTGTCAGACCAGGTTTTGAATCCCATCACTACCGAGTACTCTCTGGCTTTTGGCATATTACCAAACCTCCCTGAGCTCCAGTTTCTTCATCTGTAAAATGAAGTTAACACCACCTCCCTCAGAAGATTGTGATAAAGTCAAAATGAGATAACTGAATATAAAATGTTTAGCATAGCTCAGAAATTAACAGGTCGGTACATAGTGGCTCTTAGTACCATATTACTGTTACCACCAGCACCATCATCATCAAATGGCAGAGCTGGTATTAGAAGCCATGTTTTTGGCATCCCAGTCCACAGTTCAACCATTTGAATAGCATTTTACAGTTTCCCAAGTAATTTCGTGTGTGCTTTCATTTTGATACAAGCAGAGTAGGAATCATCCACTTTTTTCTTCTCTCCCTCCCTCTCCCTCCCTCCCTCTCTCTCCCTCCCTCCCTCTCCCTAACCCCTCTCCTTTTATTTGGTTTGTTTGGTTGGTTGATTGATCAATCAAACCCACAGCCTGTCAAATGCTAAGCACATGCTCTATCATAGAGCTTACACCCTGAGCCCCCTACTTTTTATGTTTGAGACAGGGTCTTGCTGTGTACCCTCATACTTAATAATCCTCCTGCCTCAGCCTCCTGAATGCGGGTGTTAATGGGCCTGGTTCTCTGTCTTTCTCTCTATCATTCTTCCTCCCTCCCTCCCCGTCTTGCCATTCTTGCCTCTCTCAGCCCTCTCATCTCCCTTTTCCCTCTTCTCTCTTTCTCTCCCCTTCCCCTCTCCTCTTCCCCCCTTTCCCCAACCCCACTTTTTTTGTTTGTTTGTTTGTTTTTAGAAAAGGCCAAAATGTAGTCCAGGCAGGCTTTGACCTCAGTATGTAGCCCAAGCTGGCCTCAAATTCAAAATCCTCCTACCTCTACCTTCCAAGTACCAGGATCCCAACCTTTTTTTTTTGTACCAAGGAATGTACTCACACCTCTTGCCTGCCAGCTAAGCAGCCCCAACTTCTGTTTGTTTGTTTATTTGTTTGTTTTTTAGATAGAAGTAGAGTAGGTGAAAAGCTGGCCCAAAGTCATCACCTTGTAAAGGCAGAGCTTAACCCTCCCTCTTCTGGATAGTATCCCTTGTCTCCCTTGATAGGGATCTGGTCTTTTTAGTGTACCCGGTGCCTCCTTCCCCCGCAGAGAACTCATCTGGGAGGATGAGTTATTTTTTAATACACTTATTGAAATCCTTTTATACGTCAGGCAGTGTTTTAGGGGGCAGTGATGCAACAGTGAACAAAAGGTCTTTACCCTTGTAGAGCTAACATTGCAGTGGGGGTAGAGAGACAGATAATATGCAACTAGGTAAATAAAATAAGTTCAGAGTGATACATTCTATGAGAGTATTAAAAATAGCCCCTGGTCCTATCTCTCTTTCCAAGTGGGATGCACATCCCCCACCTATCAAGTCTTTCATCAGGAAAAAGCTCTAACGGTTGCTTTGCTAATGAGCTTTGTGTCCAGAGACTCAAGAGCATTCCACTTGCACTGCAGTTTACCTGATGATTACCTGCAGCTGCACTCCATGCCTGGGTATGAACAACTGCAGTGATCATCTCTATCTGGGCTCATTGCTTGCCGGAAGCCTGGATGGAAGGATGAGCTTTCCTCCACCTTCCCCTGCTGCAAGATATACCTGTCAGTACATCCCCTTGTCACCACAGTACCCAGGTGCTGCATCTGCTTTTCCTTCCCTCCTTCTGTTTACTTTTCTGTAGAAAACAGTGTTAGAGTAATGATCTTTATTCTTCCCTATTGGCTCTAGAGAATTGCTAGAAGAGAATGACTATGGATGAGTAAGCACCCTTGTACATCATGTATTTGTAGGGACACTGTTGACTTACCCTCTTCCAAAGGCTTAGTTTATGAACATCCCATACAGTAAAAAAAGAAGTCAGATGATACTCGTTAATAAAATGATTTGTAACAAAAGGGTTCACCCCAGCACCAAAGAGAAAAAGGATTCATCTTTATACCTCTTCTAGCTAGATCTCCTGGTTGTGTCCATTATTGGTTCTCGGAGTTCTTGACAGTTTTAACAGGTCTGTGCAAGAATAAAGAAAATTCAGTGCATTGATGTGAGTTTTTCTAAAATCTAGTTCAATATATTAAATTTAAAGTGTTTTTGAAATTACATGAAACAACCCATGAATTATAGCTTTTTTTATTTTTTCAAGAGAAATAGAATAATAGAAAATAGTGTAGCTGGGCAAAGTGGTGAAAGCCTGTTATCCCAGCTACTTGCAAAGTGGAGGCAAAAGAATTGCGAGTTCAAGACCAACCTAGGTAACTTAGCAGGATCCTGTCTCCAAAACTATGTGTGTGTATATATGCACACATATATACAAATATATATGGACCAGGGCTTTAGCTCAGTGATGCTGCTGCCTGCCTCAGAAGCTCAAGGTCCTGAGTTTGAAAGGAGGTGGAGGCTGTGCTCAGGGGTAGAGCCCTTGCTCAGTGTGTGAGCCTCCGTATTCAATTTCTAGCACCACACCAAAACCAAAACAAAAGAGTATCAGTGAATCACATAGAGTAAGGGTAAATATTTTGTTAAATTTTAGTTTTCCTGGGCCACGGATTTGGCTCAGTGGTTCCACCACCTGCCTCGCAAGCACAAGGGCCTGAGTTTGATTCCCAGTACCAAAAAAAATTTTTTTAGTTCTCCTATATTTGTGTGTGTGTGTGCATGTATACATGAGTAAGTGTATGTTGGGACATGATATAAAAGGTATTTTTCATTTTTCTAAGTTTGTTAAACTCCTTTCCCCAATACTAGGGATTGAACCCAGGACCTGAAATGTGCTAGGCAAGTGAGCTATATCCTCACTATTTTTTGTGTGTTTTATTTTAGGTTTCCCAGGCTGGTCTCAAATTTGTGATCTTCCTACCACAGCCTCCCAAGTGCCACTGTACCTGGTGAAAAACAGTTTTTAATGATTGTCCTTTATTGTCAGATCGAACTCTTCCCATGTTTGAATATTAAACTGCTCACTCGCTCTCGTCTCTGCATCTATCCATATGTATGTATAGTATTTTTTTTAATTCAAGTCCCTGCTTACCAAAATGAAACATCAACAAACCTATGTAATTTCCTACCCTCGACCTATTTTCCCACCTATTGGTCCCTATGATCCAAAGGCAAAGCTTTGTTTGGAAATCTTTGCTATAGTAGATTTAAACATGATTTGCTTTGTTGGCAGTATAAATTGGTACAGTGGCTTTGGGAAATAACATGTACAAATAAATAAATAAAATATTGATAAGATCTAATGCATTAATTCTCTTTATAAAAATCTATCCTGCCAGGCATAGTGGCACGTGCCTATAATCTTAGCACCTGATAGGCTGAGGCAGGAGGATTGCTGTGCATTCAAGGCCAGCTTTGGCTATGTAGTGAATTCAAGACCAGCCAGTACTACACAGCAAGACCCAGTCTCAAACTAAATATATATATTTTTTTTTTTCTATCCTTAGAGATCCAAAATATGAAAAAATTTTGTTATAGCTTTATATATATAAAATAAAAACCTTAAATGTTCAACAGTAGAGAATTGGTTAAGTTAAACCAATAGATAGCCATCTAGTTATATAACTATTGAAAGTGAAGTTCATAGTAATATAGAAAAAAATGCCCTTATTAAAAAAATTTAAATTGTTTGGAGTAACCACTCATATACTGCTACCAAATGCTAGGTTAAAATAAAAGTATGCTAAGTTCCTTTCCTATTAATTCCTTTAGTCCTTATAATGACCCTGTAAAGTAAATTTCATTATTAGATTTATTTTACAAATGAGAAACTGAGCATGTCATTTTTCAACAATATTCTGGCACCAACTGGATGTCTTACATACAATTCAACTCAGTTCTGATGCTAACTATCCAGAGTTAGCACACAATCTATTCCCCACACATTAAATGCTCAGTCTCACAAGGCTGCCTCCACATTAGATACAACTAGAAATGGAGACTCCAGATTATGTATACATCCACCCAGCCAACTGCAAATTCAGGGGTTACCATGATCTCTCCTTTCAGGTTTGATAATTTGCTAGAATAACCTAGAGAACTCAGGAATTAATGAATATATTATATTTTTGAAAGATACAATTTGGAAACAGCCAAATAGAATAATAATAATACAGTAGGGGCCTGAGGTGGCACCATTTTTCTAGCATATCTATTTTTCACCATCCCCAAAGCTGCCCAAGAACTTGTTTCAGGGTTTTCATATGGCATTTCTTACCTAGACATGATTAAGCCACTGATTATGTGACTTAACTCAATCTGTAGTCCTCCCTCCCCCTCCTAGGTATGGGTAGTATCAATTTTATACCCTCAGAATACAAGTATGCTTTTTCTGGTAGGGCCAGTCCCTCCCTTGAAACTGAAAAGGCCCCTATGAGTTACCTCATTAGCATCAGTTCTGCTGTGGTTGACAGGGGCTCATTGTGAATAACATATAATCCTATCAGGAAGTTCTAAGGGTTTTAGGTTCCTGTGCCAGGAACCAAGCGCAAATATCTTTTTATACCACACTGAAGCACAGAGAGGTTAACTTGTTCATGTTCTCATGCTGTATGACAAAGCTGAGATTCAGAATTTAAAGTTATGTGTGTGTGATGTACTGGAGATTGAGCCCAGGGCCTTCCCACTGAGTTATACCACCCTCCCAGACCATTTTTAATATTTTTATTTTGAAACAGGATCTCACTAAGCCATTAAGCTACTCAGACAGGGCTAAAACTTGTGATTGTCTTGCCTCAGCCTCCCAAAGTCTGGGATTAGAGATATGCACCACATGCCTGGCTTTAAAATTCTTGTAATTTATGCTAGAAGGAAATACCCTCTCAAAGGCTTAAGGAGATTTGGGGACAGGATCATATTTAAAATATTTTTGATAGGATTATTTAAGGAACATTATAGGAAATCTAGCCTTTAATACAACTTGGAGGGGAGATGGTACCTTATTTGAAAATTCTCAGGGTGTAAAAAATTAGAGCTAGCCAGGCATGGTGGCACACACCTGTAATCCCAGCACTCGGGAGGCTGAGGCAGGAGGATTGCTGTGAGTTCCAGACCAGCCTGGGCTACACAGTGAGTTCCAGGTGAGTCTCAACTACATAGTGAGACCCTGTCTTAAAAAATCAAAAAAAAAAAAAAAATTAAGGAACTGTGATCCACAACTAAGACATGCCTCAAATCATAGTGCTAATGAGAGAAATGAGGCTATAGTTCAGTTTTCCTCTTTTGTTTTTTTATTTTTTGTTTTTGGTACTGGAGATTGAACTCGGGACCTTGTGCTTGTGAGGCAAGTGGTAAAGCCACTGAGCCAAATCCCTAGCCGCTCCTCTTTTATTTTTTTTCATCTCATTTTTCTAGATATCAGCTCCTCAGATCTATGTATAAGTAGATTAGATATGGAGAGAGATTATAGCTTTCAGATCTGCTCACAATCCTATTCTTCACCCAGACTTTCTGATTCTATATGGAAACCCTCAGCCTCTCCCCAACTGAAAAAAAGGTCAAATGGGATTTTGTAGCTGCCTCCCTGATCTAAGCTTGGTCTCCAAGAGAAGATGAAATAAAGGTATACTTTTCCTTTGGCAACCCCTTTTCAAGTTACCTCAGTTACCAGAAGAATTTCTGTATTACAGGGCTCGGTGGACTGTCCAACTCTGGAATTCGAGTACGGAGATGCAGATGGGCATGCAGCAGAGTTATCAGGTATGAGGAAGATGGATGAGGGGCAAATGGAAGAATAGCCAGGAAGGGGCCTGTGACCTCCTCTGGCATCTTCTCTGTTCTCAGGAAGTGGCTGTTGAATGAAGGCTATTCTTGTTAAAATCTCAAGAATATCTGAGGAAAAGCCTATAGACAACTAGGCAGCTAAAACAAGGCTGGACATGTCACCTGCCTCAGTCATAGTGGATATTTGTGAGTCAGGGATAACTGATCTCATTTGTCGTTCCATTCTGGACTCCTCCCTCTGTCTCTCTCTCTCTCTCTCTCTCTCTGTCTCTCTCTCTCTCTCTCTCTCTCTCTCTCTCTCTCTCTCTCTCGATTTTTTAGCTTAGGGTAAATGTGATTCAAGGCCTCCATGTTACACGTGCTATGACTGATAGTTATTAATAAACAAGCTTTGGATGAAGATGGTATGAAAGTTAAATATTCTGTCACATGGAAGTGTCACTCGAGACACGCTTTTTCAGAGAAAAAAGACATTTTTAAAGAAGTTCTTGTGAATAAGCACAGGGAATAAATTTTGTGACGAGTGACAGAGAAATAGAAAGCTAAGCTGAATCATGAACAAAAGATTAGAATCCAGAATATGAATATATATGGATCTGAGGCATAGCTTACTAGTAAAGAACTTGCCTAACCTGAATGAGGACATTCCAATCCTCAGCACCACATACATACATAAATACATACATACAAGATGGTCAACTTCATTAATAAATGGAGAAAAGCAAATTAAAATAATAAGATCTTATTTCACAATCATCAGATTGCAAAATTTAAGAGATGGGTTGGTGAGAGTGTAAAGAAATGAGCACTTTTCTACACTGCTATGTATAGCAGTATGGGGGAGCAGAGTATAAAATTGGAAAGCAGTTAGGTCATATCTAATAACGTTGAAGATGTGCCCATATTATGACCCAGTAATTTTCCTCCTAGATGTACACTCTGGAGAACCTTGCATTGAACACAAGAAAATGTACCAAGATGTTTATTATGGCCTTGTTTATAATTGTAAACAACTGAAAACAATCTAAAATGCCTAGCAGTAGGGGAATAGTTAAATTGTAGTGTATCAGTGTAGTAGGCTAGTGTATAGCCATTAATATAATTGATCTGTATCAACATGCTTCTATATCAATAATGTCAAAAATAAAATCAATGACAAAAGAATTTGTACAATATGCTACTGTTGAGATCAAAACTTTTTTTTTCGGTACTGGGGAATCAAACTCAGGACCTTGTGCTCACAAGGCAGGTGAGGTGCCACTGAGCTGAATACCTGGCCCAAAACTTTTTTTTTAAAGCAAAGCAGTTATTGTTACATTTTAGGTATACATAATGATACCATTCATTATAGGGAATTTGGGTAAAAACTTTAAAAAACAATATGCTGTTTATAGGCACATACATAGTAAAAGTATAAAAATGGGTACATGAAGGGTACACCAATTTCACCATAGTGGTTACTTCTAGAGAAGGGAGTAAGATAGACTTGGGTTTTGTCTGAAACAAGTATGACAGATACTGTGTTAACATTTGTTTAATCTGGGTAAAAGACAAACATGTCTTAAATGTATTCTTCTCTGTATGTGAAATTTCATTATCTAAAATAAAAAAATAAGAACAAGACAAACGTTCAGTACCTAAAACACTTGCTCACTTTTTCTGTCCTCCAAGTACTAACCAGGACTAACCCTGCTTAGCTTCAAAGATCAGACAGGATCTGGTATGTTCAGTGTGGTATGGCCATAAACAGGTTTTGCAGCTGGACTTCTGGTGGACTGTCTCTCCCCGCCACCCCCAATACTACTGGCAATTGAACCCAGGGCCTTTGGCATGCTACACAAGCACTGGACCACTGAGCTCCATATTTATCTCTTTATATTTTCTGACAGGATCTTTCTGAGTTACCGAGGCTGAACTCTAATTTGCCATCCCCTTGCTTTAGTTTCCCCAGTAGCTGGGATTACAGGCATGTACTGTGCACCACATTTGGCTAGCGGTGCTCTACACTCTCTTGTTTTTTGTTTGTTTGTTTCCACTACTGGGGATTGAACTCAGGACCTTGAACTTTTGAGGCTGGCATGGTGTCACTGAGCTAAATCCCCAGCCCTATTAAAAATGTATATTAAGGACTGGGGGTATAGCTCAGTGATAGAGTGATAGAGTGCTTCACTAAATGCATGAGGTCCTGAGTTCCATCCCCATTACCACTATTTAAAAAAAAAAAAAATGGGGCTCGAGATTTAGCTCAGTGGTTCTGCTGCCTGCCTCACAAGCACAAGGTCCTGAGTTTGATTCCCATACCAAAGAAAAAGAGAGATTTTTGCCAGGTGTTGTGGCACATGCCTATAGTCCCAGAATGGGAGGTTAAAGCAGGAGGAAACCCAGGAGTTCAAAACTGATTTGAGCACCACAGTGAGACTCTGGCGTAAAAAACAAATATAGAAATTATATTTACTACATTCATCACTATGGTTGAATTAAAGTATTTAAAATTCAGAATTGGGATTTGCTTCTGGTCACTCCCAGATTCTGTTAATGGGCTCAAACTCTGGCTCCCAGACCAGGTGTTTTTCAGCCACTAGACAGCTGGCTGGAATGAAAGTTAATTTCTCGTCTTTTGTGAATTATCTCTAATTAGGAGGAATAGAGATTTTGAAGAAATTTGTTCTATCACCTATTGTCTGAAGAGGGTACGGTAGAATGTTCTGGATTTGGAGGGGGCATTTTTATTCTCAAACCTGCATTTTGTATTTAGAGTCTGTTGTCAGTGAAGTTAGAGTTTTCTGGGCAGAAGCAGCCCTTTGGCAGCCATGGATGCTTTCTACATCATTTGCTACTGCCTCTGCCCAGGTGGCTGTGGGCTAGAACATAAACTTCCACACCCTTCGAGGAACTCAGCAGGGAGAGAGTGAACTGCTTCCTTCAATACTGAAGAGCACTGTACTCTGTATTTTTCCAGCCTTTGCCTTGGCTTCTGGAATAGCATGCATATCTTGCCTCCAAGTTTCAGCTGTGTTTTCCTCTTTTCTAGAGATAGAATAGTTCCAGTCTGAGGTAACAGCATAATGGGTGACAGACCTGAGAAACAGGAGTGATAACATTAAGCCCTCTGTGCTCCGACTTTCCTCCTGGCCCTCTCCAAATGTCCAGGGCTGCCTTCTCTGCTGCAGCAGCCAGCTGGCAGGAGGAAGACAGTTTTGATGGTTTAATCACCCTGGGACACAAGTGGCTATTTTTAAGTGCTCTGAAAGGGAGGAAGCTGGCGCTGGATTGAATTGGACACAGGAATGTGTTGGAAGCTTCAGCTCGTGTATGCAACCCTTTCCACCCCAGGCTACTACTAGGGGTCTCCTCAATGACTCTTCTTTCTTGCCACAGAATTGTACAGCTACACTGAGAACTTGGAATTCACTGCTAACAGGAGGTGCTTTGAAGAAGATTTCAAGACCCAAGGTGATCCCAGATCCTTACTCATAGAAGCATGCTTTCTGCCTCCATAATGTCCCAGTCGAATCCAGTAAAAGGCTAAAATAAAGTATGCTCCCGCATGGCCATATACTCTTCCCTTCCTCTGCCTGGGATATGGGGTTCTCTGGTCTCAAGTGGAGATGCCTTGGGGCAATAGAAGAGAAGCCCGAGCTGACCCTCTTTCCCTGATATAAAGGGCCAAAAGGCAGAATGGTGAGGCTAGGCCAGCTTAGTACCTGCTGCCCACCCCCCTCCCCAGATCCTTGAAATTAAATTTAACCCCTGTGCCTAACCCTGGCCCACTCTCAGTAGCAATTTTATGTGTCCATACTGTGATACCCTCAGATTTTCATTTCCTTATTTGATCAGTGGCAATTCACTACTCAATTCAACAAATGTGTAGTGAGTATCTGTTGTGTCAGAGATGTAGGAAGCAGAGGTAAACGTAAATTTGTAGCTTCTTACAAAGGTTATAGTCCGGTAGCAGCGGGGAGATATGCACATCACAAAGCTAACTAAGACTAAGAAGAAAATGTGAAGGGTCATAGAAAAGTAAGGAAAGTATCTCGGGAACAGAGCTTTCAGCTGAGGCATTAGTGTGAAAGGGGTTGTTTTGCACTGGGGCTGCCAGGTGACTAGGATTGGAATGTAGATGAAGACAGGAACTCTGAGGAAAAGCAGCAAGAGGATGGAATATTGAATACGAAGCTACAGAGCAAGTTCAGGCCAGAATATTTTGGATCTTTTTGCCACCCCTTATTCTTTCTCAGCTAAATAAGGAAAGCTTTGGGTTGAGGGTCCTACGTTTGATCCTCAGCTCTAAAATATTTTAAAATAAGGAAATCTTTAATTTTTTTTGGGGGGGGGGTAGTAGGAATGGAACCCAGGATGTTCCCACTAAGCCACATCTCAGCCATTTATATATTTTTATTTTGAGACAGGATCTCACAAAGTTACCCACGACAGGCTCAAACTTTTGATCCTCATGACTCCACCTCCCTGACTGCTGGGATTATAGGCATGTGCCTCCATGCCTGACTAGGAAATGGTTTGGAGAAAATTATTTGTTGAGGGCTGAGATCAGCGGTGGATATGATATTGGGTGTCTTTCGAGGAAGAGGTGACAGTAGCCAACACTGGATATACATGGCCTTTTATCCCTAGTGCAAGGCAAGGAATGGCTGGAATTGGAAGAAGATGCCCAAAAGACCTACGTGATGGGACTTCTGGACCGGCTGGAGGTAGTTAGTAGGGAGCAGCGCCTGAAGGTGGCCCGAGCTGTTCTCTACCTGGCCCAAGGTGAGTTCCTACACTTGCCAGTTTGAGAGGGGTAGAGACTGGGGAGGGAAAGGAGAGGAGACAGGCTGTTCCATGATAGCAAGGTTCTTTGCTTGTCAAGAACACATCTTAGGTGCTAGAAGCAATCTATGTGAATGAGGAAGATAAAGAGATGAGATCAGACACTGTTCTGAACCCTTGGGTCCAGACTTTATCTTAGGCATGCCAGGATTTCTTTTTTGTTTTGTTTTGGTTTTGTTGTTTTTTGAGACAGGGTTTCCCTGTGTAGTTCAGGCTGTCCTTGAATTCACTGTGTAGCCTAGGCTGGCCTCGAACTCCTGGCGATCCTCTGCCTCAGCCTACAGAGTGTAGGGACTATAGGCATGCACCACCAGAATTTCTTACGGGGTTCTTTTCCCCTCTAACTTGGACTACAGGCATACATGCAAAGATTAGCAGGAAAGCCATTGTGATCAGAGCGGAAGCTGTACTGTCGTCTGAGCGTGGAGACTTCTTTCATCAGCAGTGGGCTAGTCTCAACACTGAGGGGAGATAGGGATGTGTCATAGACTCACATAAGGCCCCTCTGCATGGTTTTTCTTTGGCATTTTGAAGGTTCAAGCCAAAACAGCAGCAGGAGGGGATCCTGTGAGCAATTTGGAGATGATCAGAACTAAATGAGATTAGCTGGGGATGGCTTCCCAGAAGAGACCTGTTAGCCGGGTGTTAGGAAGCAAAATGAGATGGGTTAGCGGGAGAAGTGAAAATATATCCTGACATTATAAACAGGAGGATTGCTGGCACACCAGCTAGCTGGGAGCTAAAATATTATAAAAGAAAAAATAAATGGAGAAGAGAGAATAGACATTGGGTAAAAAGCAGACTCTAATAGATAAGGTGATGCCACCCCTATTTTTTGGATCTGGTGCTCTGGCTAACTTCCAGCTGCCAGTACTAAGTAAGGTCTTTTGCCTAGAGGCTTTCTCTGCAGCCCACAAAGGGTAACCAGGAAGTGTAGGGAATTAATGTACTCCCCGAGTCCAGCAGTCCTCATAAAATGCCTGGCAGGAGTGAACTGATAAATAGCTTGAATGAATATCTCACCCCTCTGGGTAGGGTAACTAAGTTGTGTGTTTTATATCATTTGTACAGCTTCCCCTTGGGGTTGAACTCTTGATTGCCATGTCTTCCCTATTGTACTTTACTACTTCTCCACTGATGATTCCTAGGATGAATTCCCAAATAAACTGCTTGTACTTGAATCCTTACTTATTTCAGAATCTACTTTTGGGGGACCCCAAACTTGAAACAGGCCATTACTGAATACAGTGGACCTAACCCTAGTGACTGCCCTCTTTTCTCCCATCTCATTGAAGGGAGTGCTCACTGTCCTATATCTCCCTGCCTAATTGTTGTGCACAGTGTTAGAGGAAAGTCTTAAGATCATGGGGCAGGGTGGAAAGGCTGGAATTCCTGCCCTCCTCAACTCCTCTGGCAACTGTCTGGTCCTTTAGGCACTTTTGGGGAATGTGATTCAGAGGTCGATGTGCTACACTGGTCCAGGTACAACTGCTTCCTGCTCTATCAGATGGGGACCTTCTCGGCCTTCCTGGAGCTACTCCACATGGAAATCGAGTGAGAAGCCTTAGGGGAGGGCTGACCTAGACAACCCTCTTCCTTGAAGGGCCTCATGTTCTGTGCTGGTTGCCTCCATAGAGACCCTTGGGGAGCTGGGTCTATGCACACCTCAGCTCAGTGACGGTTCCCCTCCATCCAGCCATGTCTCCTGATATTCTGTCCTCCCCGAGGTTGGGTTCAGCAGCAGCTTCTGTTCTAATTATAGCTTCAGTCCTAGGCTTCAGGGGCCTATTATTGTTGGGTTCCTTTTTTTGTTTTATTTTGTTTTTTTGGTACCGGGGATCAAACTCAGGACCTTGTGCTTGCAAGGCAGGTGGCAGAACCACTGAGCTAAATCCCCGGCCCTGGGTTCCTTTTTTTATCTAAGTACCCTCGTAGCCTAGCCTAACTCTGGAATTCTTGAAGGAAACTATGCTACCTTCGTAAGCAGCACCCAAGAAAGCAGGAGTAGTTCTTATCATTGTACACAGTTCTTCCCCTCATAGGTTATAGATCAAGAGAAGGCTTCACCTGCTGCTACTACAGTGACCCCTCATTTTATCTCATTCCTTTCACCCAGGAGATTTAGACAGGGTGAAATCTACTTGCTGTTTATCAGGTATTGCTTTGCATCTGTTTTATGTCTAGCACCGTACTGGCACAGTGGGGATCACAAGAGGAATGGAAATCACAGACCCTGTCCTTGCCTGTCTTCACCACAGATGAGAGTTTACTGAGGTGGCAAAGGAATTCTCTGTGGACTCCTTTACCATAAAGCAATTTCATTAGTGGCTACATTTCCACACAATTGCAGATATTCATGTTTGTGTGTAGGTTGGGTGGGAGAAAAGAGGCTCTGAGGGTTCCCATTCTCTCCTTCCTCCCCATGGCAGCAATAGTCAAGCCTGTAGCAGTGCCCTTCGGAAACCAGCTGTCTCCATTGCTGATAGCACAGAGCTCCGGTGAGTAGGGCTGACTACGAGCTCAGGAGGGAGCTGTTTAGCACTGGGTTACCCTTTCCTCAAATCCCAGACCATTAGGTTGTTGTCCTCTATCTAATCCATTGTTTTGGGCTCCCACTGAGATCATCCCTGAGGTCTATGCTACTAGCGGGGCTGGGAACCATCCTGGGACCCTCTTGTGACACTTTTGTAACCTCAGGGTATTGCTGAGTGTTATGTACCTAATGGTGGAAAATATCCGCTTGGAGCGAGAGACAGACTCCTGTGGATGGAGGACAGCCCGGGAGACCTTCCGCACTGAACTGAGTAAGAAGTGACACTTGAGGAAAGGTGGGAATGGCGTGCTAGTGGAGGGGGTAAAGCACGACATGTGCCTAGGAGAGAAACATAGTCCTTTTTTTCCTTTCCTTTTCTTTTGTTTAATGAGCACCCTTTCTTTTAGGAGATACTGCATGGCAGCCACAGGGTTTTTCTATGAGCTAGAACCTGTATCTATGAGCTAGGACCAATCATAAAACCTTTATATACTTCGGTTCCTTGGTTACAATGAGGATAGCCATTCTTCTCTCATTCCATCACAAATCCCGCATCAAAAAATGAGTTAATGGGGCTAGGGATTTAGCTTAGTTGTTCTGCTGCTTGCCTCCCAAGCACAAGGTCCTGAGTTCAATCCTCCCTGGTACCAAAACAAAATAACCACCAAAAAAACCAAAAACAAAAACAATGAGCTAAATCACCTTGAAAATTGAGCTGAGTTCTGTTCAAATGTAAAGTGATAGCCGGGTGTGGTGGAGCACACCTGTAATCCCAGCACTGGGGAGGCTGAGGCAGGAGGATCACTGTGAGTTTGAGACCAGCCTGGGCTACATAGTGAGTTCCAGGTCAGTCTCAACTACCTAGTGAGACCCTGTCTCAAAAAACAAAATAAAACAAATGTAAAGTGGTGTGGTCATTTAACAGGAATAATATATGAAGGCCTACTGGATTTTTAAAACATTTATTGATGTGGCAAAGGGAATTGTGGTCCACAAAATAGGTTGAGTGGCTTAGCTAAAAAGCAACATCTTCTTTACTGTTATTTCTAGTTTGGTGTCCACACCCAAAGTATCACCTAAGCTCTGGGAGCCAAGCCATTTTACCTCAGTAGCCTCCTATTCTCTTTGAGGGGCTTTGTTCTTCGGGCTCACTGAGCCTCATTTTTCAGGACCAGCCACTCTAGATTTCTTCAGGGGAGGTGAGTGCCTTTCTTAGTGTGTCCAGACTCAGGGATACAGGAGCAGGGTTTCAGCTGCTTGGTCCTCACTTTCTCAGTTGCATCTCTTTACACCCTCAGGCTTCTCCACGCATAATGAGGATCCTTTTGCCCTTTTGCTCTTCTCTATGGTTACCAAGTTCTGCAGTGGTCTGGCCCCCCACTTTCCTATAAAGAAGGTCCTGCTTCTGCTGTGGAAGGTGGTCATGGTGAGTGGCTGAGCCTTCCTATTCCCATCTCATCAGATCAGCAGCACCCAACTTCAGTTTCTTCCATTCCATTCCAAGAACTGATGGCAGGCAGCAGAATAGGGCAGCTGCTAGCCAGCAGCTGACAAGGTGGGACGACAGGACCATCCTAAAAACACCGGATGTGCTGTGTCAGAGCAGGTTTCTGTCTCTCTTTGACAGGCAGGAGATGCCACTCCATGTCTCCAGGTGTCACTGGCACCTTCCTCTGATAGAAAGAACGATAGCTCAAATTTAGGGGATCTTCTGCTGATACTGAGGAATCTTGGGAAACTTTGCCTCAATTTCTCTAGCTATAAAATGTTAGGGTTAGTGCTTGTCTTCCCTCCGTATAAATAGTGGGTTTGTTTCTTAAAAAATAAAGTCCTCAGCTGGGAGTGGCGGTGCCTATAATCACAGCACTTGGGAGGATGGGGAGGAGGACCACCACAAGATTGAGGCCAGTCTGGTGAGACCCTGTCTTTAAACAACCAAAAAAACATACATACATACATACATACATACATACATACATACATACATACATAGCACTTCTAAGTTTACAGACATGGTTTTGGTACTTATTCAGCCTGATCTACCATCTCTGGTTATACAACAAACCCTCCAGGCCAGCCTCATAGGGGAAACTGTCTTCATTGTAGAGGAAATTGAGTGACTCAGTGTTCATAGTATCTGGCTGTGCCCCTTAAAAAGGAAGATCATTTCCTGTTTTGTTCAGTGGAAGCCCCACGAGTCCCTTTTCTAACTTGTGATGTTTCTAGGTCTGGGTCAGTAAAAAAATTTAGATTTTACTTTGACCCCTGAGCCCCTCGGCCCAGGGTGGTATCCACATTTGCCCCTTGCTGTTTCTTTTGCTTCCTTATTCCAGAGGGAATCTGAGAAGCCTAGAGGTTGGAGTTCTTTTTTCCTAACCATTTTTCTCTGATCTTGCTCTATCTGACTTCCCTCCCTTCGTCACTCTTTTCCGCACCTTTTCTTTTCCCTTTTAGTTTACCCTCGGTGGATTTGAGCATCTGCAAACTCTCAAAATACAGAAGCGCGCAGATTTGGGCCTGCCTCCACTGGCTGAGGACAGCATCCAGGTGGTGAAGACCATGCGTGCCGCCTCCCCGCCCTCTTACACTCTGGACTTGGGAGAGTCTCAGCTGGCACCACCACCCTCCAAGCTGCGAGGCCGCCGTGGTTCTCGAAGGGTATGGGCTACCACAGACTGGTATGGCACTGGTGTGGCTGACCAAAAAATCAAGATTTTAAGCTACTCTGAATATCATAGGAAAGGGAAATAAACAAGTCGGCTCATTCTGATCCAGGATGGTCCTGTGACCAGCCTGAAAGCTTTGATCTGGGGTCCTTCACCCTCCTGGCTCCCGGGCTGTCCTGATGGGACATTATGATATCACATCATATAGCCATGTGTTCATCGGGATCATTAGTCTGGACATCCTGAACATCAGGGTAGAATCTTAGGAATGGGGCTCCTAGCACATCCACAGCCCTAGGGTGTGGCACTACCATTTTCCTGTCAGCAAGGTTTACTTTGAGCTCGCCACACTCATCTGACCCAGGAACCATGAGCTTTACATTTAAGAGATAACTGCTTAGGGTTCTAGGTATAGGTTGCAGTTCTAAAGAGTCAGAATAAGTTAAACTGAGATCTGGCCATGTTTTAGTGAACTCACTTGCCTGGCCTCCTGAGTTCAGCTAAATGTGACAAAACCAGACAGTCGTGCTCAGTAATCCAGCCTACATTATATGCAGTGTGATTTTTAAACCTTTTTTTGTTTTGATAAAGTAATGCTTACTTGTGGTAGAAAATTTGGAAGAAATATAAATATGTGATGAAGGGAGAAAAGAAAATTCGCACACAGTCTTAACAATGAGAATCAGTGGCTGTTAACTTTTTGGCTTATTTCTGTCCAATCTGTTTTTCTTTCTGCAACAAGATTTAAAATTCGAAACTCGTTTCCCTTTGCCTAGCAGCAATCTTCTATTCTCCTCTTCCTCAGTAGCCAGCTGATATAACCTTGCAAGAGGCAAACTAATTGCATGTTCACCTAAACAGATCTTAATTAGGAAGGAAAAGTGCTGACCAAAAAAAAAAAAGCATCAGTGCTTTTTCTGAAAGCTAAGTAACTATGGCTTTGGGATTATCTATAATCTGTCTCCTGGCCATTAACATGACTGCTAGATTTCTGCTTGCATTAGAATTGGGACCAGTGTGAGTTGTTAAGTTAGGATGGGAAATGGGATATTCTCAAAGGATCTAGGTTCAGACTCCATGTACCCTGAACTCTGGAAGCTGGTAGGAGGGAATGGCTTCAGACAAGGATGCCCAAGGTGAGAACTCTGCATACTTTCTTCCCCCTATCCCCAGCAACTCCTCACTAAGCAGGATAGCCTGGATATCTACAATGAGAGGGATCTCTTCAAAACTGAGGAGCCAGCCCCAGACGAGGAGGAGGAGTCTTCAGGCGATGGAGAACGTACCTTGGATGGAGAGTTAGACCTGCTAGAGCAGGACCCTCTGGTGCCACCTCCACCCTCACAGGCACCCATCTCTGCTGAGCGAGTGACCTTTCCCAAAGGCTTGCCCTGGGCCCCAAAAGTCAGGTAGGTTTAATAACAACTTCCTCTCAAGCACAAGGTTCAGAGTTCTATCTAGGTTTAATAACAACTGAACCCCAGGATAAAACAGTCTTTGTCTTCAGTGCTCAATGAGCTGGGCTGGCAGTCAAGTCCTGGGTTTGACATTCCCTCTGCTGACTGCTATCCTCCCCCATTGCTCTAGTCCACCATGTAGAGGAGCGGAAGTCCAGAAAAGTTCTCTCAAGGTTTGTTTTTCTTCCCTTCTCTACGGTTGGTCTCTTCATCATCCTCTCAGACAGAAGGACATTGAGCATTTCCTAGAAATGAGCAGAAACAAGTTCATCGGATTCACCCTGGGGCAGTAAGTGATTAGATGGTTAAAACTGGCTGTGAAGTAGTTGTGGGAGGCCAGAGGAGCAGGTCACTTGGAATGAGGATTGTTGTCAAGTAGTTGTAGTGCAACCGAGAGCCACAGGGCCACAGTGACTACTTTGGGTTCTTTTCATGGAACCATGAGTTCCTTCCAATGTCTTCAAAGAACTTTTGTTTTGAGCCAAGTATAGGATCTTGAGAAACAAGTTACTTCCTTTTAGGCCTCAATTTCCTCATAAGAAGATTAGTTTAGATTAAAAAAGAGACACAATTAGAACAGACCCAGTCTTCTCCCATTTCTCTACCCTCATGAATTCTTCCCATTGACCTTTATAAAACCTAGAAGGCTTTGTTTTGTTTTCACTGGGGCTAGGTGTAGTGGTACATACTTATAATCCTAGCTACTGAGGAGGCTGAAGTGGGAGGATTGTGAGTTTGAGGCCAGCCCAGGCAATCACAGTGTCATTGGACTACATACTCTTCAATAGGAACCTGTCACTCCCAGACCAAGTGAGTCTCCAAAGAGACTATACAAATCTAATTTTTAATAACATTTCAGTGTATCACTGTTACTTTTGTGTCCTGAAGCAAGATGGGAGGACCTAGAGGCTTATAGAGGAAGGCTCAAGGTACCAGTGCTTAGATGTTCAGAGTGGTGTGGTCCCTGTGACTGTGGGGTGCATGGGTAATTTTCTGCTCTTTTGAAGCTCCTGACTGATGTTTCTGCCTTTCTCAGGGACACAGATACCTTGGTTGGATTGCCCAGACCCATCCATGAGAGTGTGAAGACCCTAAAGCAGGTGACATGGGTGGGCCTCAGAAGTAGGAAGACATCAAGGCAAGTCAGGTTACTAGGGACTTGGGTACTGAGTTCTCCTGTACCAGACACATTGAGGACCTTCTGCATTTCCCCTGCAGGCCTGGCTTTTGACCAAATAGGAAAACTCAAAATAACTGAAAAGTTTTCTTTTGTTGCTCTCATTCTTTTTCCCTCTTTCCATCCTTTTCTCTCTCTCGCTTCCCACTTCTTGCTTCCTTTCCTTTCACTTCTCTCTGCCCATAGGTCCACTGATGTTCAGGGTCCTAGGATTGATAGGAGTCTGCTCTAAACCCCTTGTGTGAGCACAGAGCATAAAGGCGTTGCTCTGTGAATATGTGCACATGCATCACAACTCTCAGGGCAGTGGTCAGAGCAAAGGCCTGTCCCTGGCTTTCCCTTGTACTTGGAAGGTAAATGCTTAGATATCTGCTGCTGTTCAACAAATATGGAAACATACACTACACAGTAGCACCGTTGAAGAAGCACTTTACTTGATGCTGATGATGTACAGGTGAATAAGATTCCTACCTTCAAAGAGTTCATGTCTCTTTGGGGGTGAAAGATCCATAGCAGAACACTGCCTCGTCAGTAAGGAAGTTGAGAGACCGGCACACATGTGACTAAGACCCTTAGCCCTGTTGATATCTTCTTGTCTTTGCCAGCACAAGTATATCTCCATCGCAGATGTGCAGATCAAGAATGAAGAGGAGCTGGAGAAATGCCCCTTGTCTTTGGTGAGCCGGGAGGAAGGAGGAAGGAACTCTGTGCGCAGTGCCAGCACAGATATGTGTGCATACATTGATTCAGTCCACTGGGCTCTTCCTGAGTGTCAGGCAAGACCAGTGCTTGATTTCATGCTATTTTAAAGCTGAGGAGGAAAGTAAACAAGGCTATCAGAGGATGTAAATACAATGCAGAAATTTTATTTTTTTAAGTGGCGACAAAGTTTATTTGATGTGTAGTTTTAAAAACCACTGGCTACTGGGCCAGAGATTTAGCTCAGTGGCACCATGCTTGTCTTGCAAGTGCAATCCTGAGTTCAATCTCCAGTACCAAAACAAAACAAAAGCAACAAAAATAAAACCCGCTGGCTGCTATGTACAGATTGGACCAGAAAAGGAGCGCTGATCAATCTTGAAATAATCAAGGTGACCTAGACTAAGGTAGTAATTGCGAAAAGTGGATGAATTTGGGTTATATTTTGGAGGTAAAACTGACGAGACTTGAAATTCTGTTGGATGTGGGCAAGCAGGCAGAAAAGAACCAAGAATAAGTACGTGCTGCCAGGGTGGGGAGGAGTAGGAGGAGTCTTGCTCTGGTCATTCTGAGTTTTAGATGCCCAGTAGATACCGGTGCACAGCTGCCAGGCAGTTAGATATGTCGGTCTGGAGTCCTCAGGAGAAGGCTGGCTTTGAGACATTCGGGAGTTGTTGATCTACACTGTCTACAGACAGTGTTGAAGGTCACAAGTGGCTGAGAGAACGCAGTGGGGAGTAAAGGCAGAAGAGGATGGGACCTAGGACAAAGTCCTTGGGTACACAGTATATTGAGGATGGGATAAGTCAGGAAAAGAGCCAGAAAAGAAGAATGAGAAAAACACTCAGTAAAGTTAGAGGAATTTCAGAAGACTGATATCATAAAAGCTAAGAAGGTCTTTCAAGAAGAGAATGATGCCCACTGGATTTGTAACATGAATATAAGTGGTGACCTTAGAGCAACAGAAAGTGAAGTGATGGGGCTGAAGGCCTAGTTGGAGTGTGTGGGGAAGGAATTTCAAAAAGGAAGGTGGAAGAAGAAAGAAATGAGGTGGTATCTGAAGGAGGAGGATGTGAGGTCAAGTTAAGGTGTCTTACAACTGAAAATTGCCAGAGTATTTCTATGTCCAGCTCAGGAGAGGGTCCGTTTATAGGACTAATGGCGTCCACAGAGTGAAAGGGTGTAGGATCCTGAGCCCGAGTGGAGTGCCTGCATCACCAGGCTCCACTGAAGACCCATTTAAGACTTGTGTCTACGGAAGCAGCTGCTGAGTCTTGCTGAATAAAAGGGGCCCAGTTACTCCTCCCTGCCTCAGGGTCTTACAGTACTAATCATTTCCCTGTAAGGGACTGCAATGGCCAAAGGTGACAATAAGGTCTCATCAGCCTCTTGAACACCCCTGGCCCCTGCTTGGTTGGAGCTCATCAAGGAGACAGACAACCAGGTATGGTGGCACATGCCTGTAATTGCAACAACATTCTGGAAAGCTAAAGCAGGAGGATTGCAAATTTGAGCCCAGCCTGGGCAACTTAATGGGTTAGCATGACCCTGTCTCATAATGAAAAGTGAAAAGGGCTGTGGATGTAGCTCAAAGCAAATGCCCAGAGTTTACTCCCCAGTACTGGGGGCAGAGGGATAGAGGACGGACATTCTGTGTCCCTCATAGGCTTGGTCAGAAAGGAAAAAAAGATGTTGGCAGGGTTAATGGAGATGGGAAAAAATAGTTTCTATTGACCTAAAAAATTCCTTGCTAATACTCCTTCCTGTCCCTCTGGCCATAGGTTACCTTGTTTCCTTTTTTTTTTTTTTTTTGGTACCTGGGATCAAATTCAGGTCCTTGTGCTTGCCAGACAGGCGGCGGAACCACTGAGCTAAATCCCCGGCCCTTTGTTTCCTAACTAACCCTCCCTGTTGAGCTACCTATGTCTCTTTCATGGCTTTCAGAGCATTCTAGAGCTCTTTGTTGACCTCTGATTGACACCATGGGAAGTGCCTCAGTATTCCAGTGTCCCAGGTGCCTGAGTAGCCAGGTAGCCTGAGTTAAATCCAAGGGTAGTCCTGGGAATGTGTCCAATAAAACAGTGGTCTGAGCTAACTTCTAGTTAGGAGTTCTAACTCCTGATCCAGTGATGAGAAAGAATTCTGTATTAATTACAGATAATGGGAAAACTAGAAGCAATAGATTACTGGGACTAGAAGAGGCCTCAGAGATCATGCAGACCAGCCCTCTGATCTTTTGAAGAGGAAACTAGGACTCAGAGACGGTCCTATCCAAGGTCATATACCAAATCACTTACACAGCTGGCCCCTAGCTTAGTGTCTTTTCATACCATCCCTCACAACCGAGAAAATGAAGCCTTTGCTCACCTAAAAAGTGACCTGGACAAACTGTTTGTTTCCTGCCATAGGGAGAAGAAGTGGTACCAGAAACACCATGTGAAATCCTCTACCAAGGCATGCTGTATAGTCTCCCCCAGTATATGGTAAGGAGATGAACAGGCAGCTAAGAACCACTTCAGGCTCTGCTGTCCAATGTTTGAGCTTATTTCCTGAGCTGTGGCTACTTGAGCAAAGCATTAGGATCCCGAGCTTTCCTTAGAGCTCCTCTGAAGGTGCTCTTCTCCTGAGTCCTTTGGGAGAGGTAGAGTATAAAATGGGTTCTATATAGGATGCATTGGGGGCCCTTCTAGGTAAGTACCAGAGTTCTTTTGAGATCTGCTGTTGCCTGTCATTTCCTCTATAGCAGCGGTGTGGGAGTAGGAACAGTGCTGATGGTCAGGGTCAGAGGAAGAAAAAAATGGGGAAAGTCAGACTTATCCTTTCCATCTTATTTGCATGTATTGCCCCTTCCATCCTCCCCTTTGGAAAAAGCAACCTTAAAGCAAAACAGCCTATGAGAGCTGGGGATTTAGCTCCATGGTTCCACCATCTGCCTTGCAAGCTCAAGGACCCGAGTTCATTCACTGGCGCCAGCACCCCCACAAAAAAACAAACAGCCTATAGGCTCCCTTCTGACTCCTCCTCAGCATCCTGGGACTGGCACCTGTTTGCACTTCTGGATGCTGGAGACATTTGGTTACTAAAGGAAGAACTTAGAGAAAGGCTTTCAAATACTTTTCACTGGGCTAATGAAGTGTGAAGAATCTCTGCCTCCCTGAGTGGGATGTACATTTAATCTTTGTCTACTTCTCAGATCGCTCTGCTTAAGATTCTCCTGGCCGCAGCTCCCACCTCCAAAGCTAAGACAGACTCTATCAATATCCTGGCAGATGTCCTGCCTGAGGAGATGCCGTGAGTGCTGCCATTGGGGTGCTGCTGGACGCTAATGTGTTGTCTGCAGAGCCTCTCTGTCTCACCAGCCCTTGTTAACACTTTTGGGGATTATCTTCAAAGAGATCTCTCCTTCCCTACCACTACTCCCCTTCTCCCTGCAGAGGTCTCTGCTGTGGTCTGTTTAGCTCAGGTCCCGGGGTCTGGAGAGTAACCTCAGTAGTGACTGGCTGTCTGGGTATGTGGGTGGGCATTGCTAAGGGACAAATTTGCCAGAGATCAGTGAAGCTTTTGTCCAGCAGGTTCGTAAGTGGGAACTCTAGAGGTTTCCCTAGCGCAGAAGTTCAGATTTTCTAATTTCTGACTTTTGTGTACCTTACATCTGACCCAAATACTTGGGTCCTCGTAAGCCTCCCTCCAAGCTCACCCTCTGTACTGACAACTCCTTTCCATTGCAGCATCACTGTTCTCCAGAGCATGAAGCTGGGTATTGATGTGAACAGGCACAAGGAGATCATCGTAAAGAGTATCTCTGCTCTGCTTCTGCTACTCCTCAAACACTTCAAACTCAACCATATCTACCAGGTGAGGCCGCAGGAGCAATTCTCCACAGGCCTTGAGTGACCTCCAGGCCCAAGGTGGGCTCACTGAGCGTCTTCCAGCCTTTTCTTTGTCCTCAGAGGATCCAGCTACTTATTCCATGAGCTTGGGGTGGGAATATGAATTGGGATGTGGAGAACTGTCTTAGAAAGGTGCAGATATCTGTGTGCTAGGTAAGTTGCCTAGGGTTGTGAGTAGGAACTTTTAGAAATATGCCCATTCAGTTTTTTGTTGTTGTTGTTGTTGTTGTTGTTGTTTTTCCTCTCTCTCTCTCTGTTCTGTAGCAGGGCTCAAACTCAGGATCTTGCACTGGCAAGGCAGGCAAGCAGTACCACTGAGATAAATCCCTGGCCCTGCCCAGTCGGTTTTGAAATATTGCCAAGTCAAAATTCAAACATTCTACCAAGCTGGGTATGGTGGCACATTTCTGTAGTCCCAGGACTCTAGGAGGCTGAGGCATGAGAATCACAAGTTTAAACCTAGCCTGGGCAATTGAGCAATTTAGTGAGACCCTGTCTCAAAATTTAAAAATTAAAGTTAAAAAAGGGGCTGGCTAGCTCAGTGTGAAGGCCCTGGGTTCAATCCCCAGTACTTCAAACACAATTCCACCAAGAAAGAGGAACATGTTGACTAAATTTTTTACGTGATGCATTCTAACATTTCAAGTATAATTCTGAATAAAACATAGTTCTAGCTCTTAAGGGCCCTAGTGTCTTATAAAGATTACAGGTATATAAATAGCCAATTGTAGAGCGATAAGTGCCGTGATGCAGGTAAGCACTGGCTGCTATGGAAACGTCTAATCCAACTTGAGGTGGAGAAGAAATGGCTTCTAGCCTGAGACCTGAAGAAACAGATGTTAGCCCGGATATGAGAGTTGACCAGGCTGACAGGAAGCAATTCAAGCAGAAAAGCTAACATGTGACAGTCCATACTGGAGAAAGTCAGGTCCTTTGGGAAACTGTAATTAAATGTTGCTAGAGTTGTGCCTGGAGTTAGGGGAAGGAGAAAGCCTGCTGCTGACACCTGAAGCTGCAGGGGTCAGCAGGGGGCCAATCTCAGTATGTGACAGCATAGCTATTGAGTACCTGTAATTGCCTGGCACCCATTAAGCTTGTGTGGGGCCTCATTTGATTCTCTTCTCCCTGCTTTATGAATGAGGGAGCTAAGTTTAAGAAAAGTTGAGACTCTGCTTTGCTCTCCCACAATGTCATTGTTTGTCTCAAGGAGTTTGGACTTGGTCCTGTAGGCAGTACCAAAATACAGTGACAGGATGGGGGCAGTGAATGGATGCTTCCTGTCTGTGGGGAGACCACAGAGAGGAGAGGAAGCCTGCTCATTCCTGCCGAGAGGCTTTGCCCATTTTTCTCCTGTATCTACTGGCCATTTGTACTTCTTCTGAGAAGTGTCTGTTCATTTCGCTTGCCAATTTTTTGATTGGGTGTTTTATTTTGGGGGGGGGTCTCATTTTTTTGAGTCCTTTATGTATTCTAAATGTTAGTCCTTTGTGTGAGGAATAGCTGGCAAAAATGTTCTCCCATTTCTGTTGGTGATCTCTTCCCTCTATTGGTTGTTTCCTTGGCTGTGCAGAAGCTCTTTAATTTTATATGCAGCTATTTGTTGATTGTCGGTATTATTTCTTGTGCCGGCCTATTTTCCTCCTCAGGACTCAGAATCACGTTTGATGGTGAAAGAGCAGGTCCTCAGAGTGCAGCGAGAATCCTGCAGGGTCTGTGACCATGATCCTGTGTGTCCAGAGTCTCTCCATCTTAGTACATTCAAAAAACTCTTTGGGTATGGTAAGGTGTCCTGGTGCTCACACTGATGCTGATGTGTGCTGAGCAGCGGCGAGGTTGGGAGGAAGTGGTAGGGGTGGGTAGGAGGCCATGTTCCCATTGAACTGGATGTGTGACTGTGGCTGCTTCTCGTAGTGGCTGGTGTGTGGCGTGAAGGGCCTTGCCACTGTATGTCAATGTGGACGAGTGCTGACAAGGCCTGACACGGCCCAAACTGAAGTTTCCCATTTTATAGTGAGTAGGTATTGGCTCCTTTGACTGAAGCTTGGAAAACACCCTGATTGGTTTCCAGGGACAAACTGTTGAACGAAAGAGGGAAGTGCACAAGCAACCTCCCAGGAGCAGCAGACTCCCCACTTCTAACCACATATGCAGGGGCAGACAGCAGCATAGTTTGCTGGCATAGCTACCTCCTGCTGATCATGCAGGGCTAGGGATTTTAAACACCTCGCTTCTCTGCTTTTTAAGGCTATGTCTGTTCTGGCCCAGCTTTCTAGCTTCATGATCTGAAGATAGACTGTATCTGGTGTTTCTCAGTGTGTCATGGGCAAAATCCAGGTTAACTGCAGACCCTACTAGGTCTTCCCAGATACAAACCCCATCCTGACTCAAGAGCCAATGGAGTCCCCATGCTCTGGTGTTTATCCCATCAAAGAAAGAAATCTGGGACTTCCCAGTAGTGTCTATTGGTTGAAGGGCTCTTGTTCATTCATTCACTAAAATACTGATATTCTACAGCTGGATGTGGTGGTGCACGCCTGTAGTCCCAGCACTCAGGAGGCCGAGGCAAGAGGAACACCATTAGTTTGAGGCCAGTGCATTCAAGGCCAGCTTGAACTACACAGTGAGAGCCTGTCCCAAAAACCAGGAAGAAATACTGATATTTTAAGAGCTAGGATAATGTGCACCAGACAGACAAGCTGGAGCCCACATGCCAGTGGTTCATTTGCTTACTGAGTGCTGCCTCCATCCTGCCTGCGTGGTGCAAGCAAGTTGACTGGAGTGCGCTGCACCTGTCACTGCTGTGTCAATCACAGCTGAAACATCATGAGCCAGAGGTTTGGTATGAAAAGTAGATCCCTCAGGGAGCCTTCCTTTTCCTGTTGAGTTTAGGAACAAATCTCACAGCAATTCCTTCCATTTATTTGAGTTTTGTTACTTGTTTGTTTGAGAGAATCTTGCTGTGTAGTTCAGGCTGGCTTTGAACTCCTGCCTTAACCTTCTGAGTGCTGGGATTACAGACATGGGCCACCATGCCCAGCTCCTTCTATTTGTTCAGAGTGTATTTTTCTGGCTTGTTTTCTTTCAGGAGCATACAATGTGCAATCTAAATAGATTATTCTCCTCCTTGCAGGATGGGCTAGCTGAAGTTGAATGTTCCATTTCAGAGATAGAAAGACTGATAACACAAGTGGACAGTGGATATTCTTGGGAATGGATATTCTGTCTCCCTTTCTCTCTCTCTCTCTCCCCCTCCCTCCCTCTGTTTTCCACCAAATAAGCTGCCCTTTCTGCTTTGATCTTTTAATTTAGTTTGAATATATATCACAACATTTGGTATTTGCCAACTGCATCCCGTTGATCCTAAAGTTCTTCAATCAAAATATCTTGTCCTACATTACTGCCAAAAACAGGTATGGACTCTATATGGGTTTATTTCAATGGGCTACTTTTTGGTGATTGAGAAAATTACATGTCTCTGCATCTGGAGTCCTTAGTCTCTCCTACTTTAAGACCCACCTCTGTTAAATTTAATTTCCTTGAAGTGTTAGCTGAAGGTGAATGGTTTGTCTGTTTAAAGAGATATTTGTATTTTAGGAGTTTTTGGTTTTTTTCAACATTGGGGATTGAACCCAGGGCCTTCAAACTGAGGTACATCCCCAACCCTTTTTTATTTTTGAGACAGGGTCTTAATAAGTCACCAGATTGCCTAGGCTGGGCTTGAATGTGAGATCCTCTTGCCTGAGCCTCCCAGAGTGCTGGGATTACAGGTGTGTATGACCACACCCGGGTAATTTTAATAGCTCTGAAACTGAAATGTACTTATAAAAGTGAAGCCAAAATGATGAGATTTCTGTGATGAAAGTCCTCTGGCAGAAGGACCCAGGAGATTTTGCTATTGTTAAAAAGCAATCTGCAGGCCGGGGATTTGGCTCAGTGGTTCTGCTGCCTGCCTTGCCAAGCGCAAGGGCTTGAGTTCAATCCCCAATACCAAAAACAAAAAACAGAAAAGCAACCTGCTTGTCCAGCCAGCTCTGATCTCAATATAAATCAAAAATTGGAATACTTGCCATTACATTGCTTTGTAAATTATAAAGTATTATAAAATCTGGCTAAAGGTAAACAGGTAGTTTAAAAAAAATAAGATATTTTCACGTGCATTGTTTCATTTCATCTTATCAGCAGTGCTAAGAGATGTATGTTTTATTTTCATTTTCCAATTAGGAGACAAATCCAGAGAGGTTAATTGACTTGCTCAAGATTAATACCCTAATGAGATCCCTTAAGTACACATCAGAAGCAAGATCAGAACACAGGCTTTTGTGGGAATTTCCCAGCTAGGACTGGGAAATTGCTGAGATCCTTGTTCCTTCGTTTGCTACTTCCATGAGAACTGTATGCATGTTATTTGGTAGAGTTTCCCAGATTTCTTTTATCAGAGGCTAAGTTACTAAAGTAAAAGTGAGAGGTTTGGTATCATACTTGGGGCAACTGGAAAGGTATGGGCTAGGAGTTGTTGTCTCACCAGTGTATTCGTACTGCCTGAAATTCCACTGTGGAGAGGCAGCCTTGTATGTAGTTTAAACACACACACCCTCCACAGAGCCAGAAGCCATGAGACCTGAATTCCTGACCTGGATCTGCCATTAGCAAACTATAAGTCTGTAATCTCACAGCACTGCTTAGTTCTCTGAGCCACAGTATTTGCATCTTTAAAATGAGAATACTGCCTCTAAATATGTCATGGAGCTTTTTTTCTAGTGCTGGAGACTTACACATGCTAATCAAGTGTGTTACCACTGAGCTATGTCCCCAGTGCCATAGAGCTTTTATAAACATTAGTTAAGATTAGTATGAGAGGTGGGCTGGGAATGTGGCTCAGTGGCAGAGAGAAGCTGGCATGCATGAGGCCCAGAGCTCCACCCCCACCACCCCAAAGAAAAAATTAGTATGAAAGTGCTTTAAATGCTCTACTTTGAAAGGAATCAGGAAGGCATTGGAGAAAGGGATTTTTTTCCTAACTATATGGAAATCTAGGCACTGTTTTTCCTAAAAATGGTGCTCTAGCCATGTTTGTTGGATTGCTAAGGAAAATAAAAGTGTAGGTCAGACATGGTGCACACCTGTTAATTCCAGCTACTTGACTACATGGAGATTTCCTACAGTTCTCCACTCTAATTCCAGCTGCTCGAGAGGCTGAAAAGATCACAATTTTTTTTTTTTTCTTTCTGGTACTGGTGATCAAACTCGAGACCTTGCCAGGCAGGCGCAGCAACACTGAGCTATATCCCCAGTCCAAAGATCACAAATTTGCAGGCAGTGTGGGCCATGTAAGAATAGACCTCCGTCAGGTAGGTAGATAGGGTAGATAGTTAGAATGTGTCAGGGCTGTGGCGGTCTAGCCGTCACAACACGAACATGCCTGAGTTGAGGAGTGAGGATTGAGAAAGGAAAGAACACTCAAGCCTGAGTGGAGACCAAGAGAAGTCTGATTTATTTCACAGAAACAGCTCCTTTTATAGGTTCACATCAACAGGAAGCACCAAGCAACTATTTGTATCTTTTATGCAAAGTCCGGTTTTTCTGACTCTTTGCAAAGAACATCAGATCTATGGCTGTCTCTTTGAGTTTCTTCCATTGCAGCAACAAGTTTAACAAGCAGAGTCCTAGAATGTTACAGATTGTATCAATGCCTTGAGCATAGAGGTGAAGAAGTTTCCTTTTAAATGTCAAACTCCTAGAGGGCCATGGCCGGGCTCCCACACAGGGCCACTACTGCATGCAGGCACCTGAGTGTATCAGTCAACACTCTTGGTTGTTACCCAATTGTCTTGGTCACTTTCTTCATGCTGAGACAAAAAAAGCCTGACAACTACAACTTAAAGTAGGAGAAGTTTATTTTAGCTCACAGTTTCAGAAGCTTCAGTCCATTTTGCAGGCTCAAACATGAAAATGACATAGTGGAAAGCTGCTCACATCACGGGGGCGAGGGAACAGAGAAGGGAGGAGCTGGGGAGAGAGATACAGCCTCCAGGTCATACCCCGAGTGGCCCACCTCTTCCCACCAGATCCCACCCCCTAACAGCAAGTCAACTCTATCACCCTCACGATTCAGTCACCTTCCAAAAGCCCAGCTTATGAATGCAAGAGACCTTTGAGAGAGATTCTTGATCTAAGCCATAACACTAATCTAATTGGCTTTGGGCCTCTGTGTCAAAAGTTGGTCTGTTATGTGGAGAGCCCAAGAAGCTTTTCATCTCCACCTGTGGATACCACATCTCTGTACTTGACTCAGATTTCCTCTCTTGCTGACAAATTTGTCTGCTTCTCAGGCCACTTGGTGAGATTTGCCCACATGAACTAAACATGTCACTCAATCCTTGTTCCAGATTCCCAGGGTTAGAGAGCTAGCTGGGTCAGTGAGCTGTGGCGGGGGGAATGGAGCATGTGGCCTTGAAAGGGGAGGAGGAGGCAGTCTAAAAGGGTGTCTGTCAGTTTTACTTGGAGTTGGAAGCATGGTAGTGGCAGACTACAGCTGTTGAGAAAGCTGGCCTGGCCCAAATGGTGCCATCTGTGTGCCACCAGTAAGTTTTGCTTTTTGAATGGCCCCTAAGAGCTTAGAGCCCCACGGCTTATCATTGCCCTGTTTCTTCATGGCTTTTACAATCCAGATATTCTAGATACTTGTAAGTTTCTTTTATGCCCCCTTAGGCTAGGACTCAGTTCACTGAGAGACTAGAGCAAATTTCATCTTTGGTTTCCCACCCAGCTAGTCAGGTGCTAGCCACCAGGACCTACTTTGGCGTGGAGGTTTGTCAGTGGGAGGTGGACAGAGAGGTGGGTGAACCAGCTAAGAATGTTTATCCTGTGAGGCAATACAGAACTGGTAGTAAATAGAGGTGATGAGCAACATTACAGGTGGACTCACTGATCTTTCCCAAGCTGACACCTCTCCTCTGCTGCCCTGGGTCTCCTAGGTCAGTGATGGCGAATCTTTTAGACCTCTCAGTGACACAAACAGCCCACTGTAGCACACGTGCCATAGGTTTGCCACCACTGTCCTAGGTTATCTTGGCTTGTGTTTCTTAGACAGAGATAAACATTTCCAACCAGATAAATTGTTATTTGGCTTATACAGAAGTTTCCACTTGCAAAATGCAGAGAAGTTCAACTTGTTAATATCGTTCCTGCTTTGCCAAAATCCTTTACCCATTTCAGACTTCACTAGTTCAGATAGGTATCTCAAACTACTTGGTTAATCAGGGTGTCTGTCAGAGCCAGAGAGCATTAGAGATTAACTAGCCTAAATTCCGCATTGTGCCATGGAGAGCGAAGAGGAGAGAAAGAGAACTATCATTTGTTGAATGACTGTATCCCTGTCATCATGTGGTATCTTACTTCCCCTCCTGACTCACCACAGAGCCTGTAGCTTTCCTATAGTCCCCCACTGTTGGCTGTGGGGCAGACACTTATCATCATCCTTGAGCTGCTAGATTGGCCCCACTACAGGAAGCTGCCCCTATTTCAAGCTTGCTATAAGAGTAACTTCTGCAATCATTCCTCAAAGTTTCCGGCTTTCAGAAAGAACTGAGGGACACAGAAGAGATTACATTCCATCCTCACTTCCTCAAATTGTTATTTAGTGGCGTGGGTCTGGGCAGCATCTCCAGGAACACTATTCACACATACACTTAAGTGCAGAAACAAAAATGCACTCAAGTTTATATGTTCCTCAGAGAAGCAAAGAGAGCCAAGGAGGAAAGAGGCTCTGTTTCTGCACTTACTGTTTTTGCATCTGCTAGATGGGGCTGGCCTGAAAGAACTCCTTGGTTTCCCTCATGACTGAGGAGAGGAAACTAGGGCTGGGGCTGCCCAGCATCTGTGCCTTCAGTTTCAGTTGAGGTCACTAAGCAGTTTGGGAAATGGATGAACCCTGTGGGAGAGAAATAACTCCTGCCCTTTTAGATGCAACCATTTCCTGCTGTTGCCATTTACCTAAAGCCTGTCCTTATCTCTGCATCTTGCAGCATCTCAGTCCTGGATTACCCCGGCTGTACCATCCAGGATTTGCCGGAGCTTACTACCGAGAGTCTGGTAAGCAGATGGGGATTCAGTAGCCTTTGAAACTGCCAGGTGGAAGAGGCTGGCATTTGATTTTTCATTGCTTCTCCAGCCCCACAATGCCCTGTGGAGTCTCAGATCAATGACAGCATAATGGTAAGAGCAGAGAGGGCGTAGGGACTCAAAGCTGCTGACCTAGTTGAGGAAGATTCAGAAAGGCTGACCTTTGCATTTTGCAAAGAAGAGGAAAGAGCCGGTGAAAAACACTGAGGAGGAGAGGGAATTTAGAAAGATGATGGGGCTGAAATGCAGTGAACATTCACGCTAAATGGCAGAAGAATTTCTTCTGACATAGCACAAACAATTACCTTTTTTTGCACTCCTCATTTTCCTGCTGGAATTATATAACCCAGGAGTATTTCAGAAAATATCTTGTCTTTCTGAGGCAAAAGTGAGTATAGCCATAGGACAGCCCAGGAAGTTCTTCACCCTGAAAACAGTTCTAGGCAAATCAGAAAAGTTCTCTTCAGTTATGAATTTTCTGAAACTGACTGACCAAAAGCATATTAAAGATAAGGTCTGTCTCATATATTTAGATATATTCCAGCCTACACACCCTCATCCTATATTGCATTGTAATTTTCTAGGTAGACTGTAAACTTCTTGACAGAAAAGACATTATCAACTTCTTTTGGGGTTTTTGAGACAGGGTCTCACTATGTAGCCCCGGCTGGCCTTGAACTTGCAGCAGTCCTCCTGCCTCAGCCTCCCAAGTTCAGGGATCATAGGCATGGACCATCATGCCCTATCATCTTCATTTTTATATCTAGCCCTACACTATATCTGGTACACTGAAGGCCTCAATAATTGAATGATTGGATGATGATATCTGTGGGTGCTACAACATTTTGTCCTCTACCTTCTTCTTCTTTTTTTTTTGGTACCAGGAATCAAACTTGGGTCTTTGCACTTTCGAGACAGGCAGTGGAACCACTGAGCTAAATCCCGGCCTGTCCCCCTGTTTTTAATACCTGCAAAATACTAAGTCAGAAGAGTATATTACACCAAAATACACTTCTGTTTTTATAGACCCGTACATAGGAATCTTGCCTAGAGGGGACGTAAGAACCATTTGACCTAACCCCCCTTATATTTCAGATTACCCAGTGGATGATTGACTTGTCATAGAACATTCATAGGTGACAGGCCACAAATGAGACGTGAGTCAAATGTCCTGGGACACCAAATTCAGCAAACTTTTGTCACTGAGACAAATTCCCTGACTTATTTAGACTTAGTCACTGCAGCCAAAGACATGAGAAGCTTTACTTCTACAGAGAAATAGTAAAATGTCCAACTCTGTTTATTTCCATGGTACTCAATCTCTTTAAAACAACTCTATGATTTTATAGATGGAGAAGTTAAGTAGCTGCTGAGACCTTATAGGTCAAATTAGCAAAGTCGGGGCAGAAACATGCACATTGCTGCCGTTCAGTGTTGGAATGAAGAATAGATTTTACACAGAAACAGTGTACACAGTAGCATTAAAGTGTTACTGTTCGTACAATGTTTTAAAATATAAAGTCCACTTTTGTGGCCTGAATGGATTCCTTGATGCAATGTAATATGTTGTTTATTCTCCATTCTAACCCTATTAGTTTATATATAAGAATTGATAGGAACTGTACTTTCATGTCTTGATATGAACTAAATTTACTGTATTGGAATGATTATTATGCCTTCTGAAACTATTATTCAGAAGTGAGTGAAAGCATGAATCCTTAATAAAAAGGTCATGCATGGCATTGTACTCCCTTCTGTGAAGCAATAGTGGCGCCTGGTGGTTATGGTTAGTAATCACAGCCCCTCACCCACACACCTGGCTTCTGCGATGTTTCCTGAGTCATCGCAGCCTTCCGTGTAACTACCAAAGTTACCCCCATAGATCCTCAATACACTGGTTTGCTTATCTAAATTGGTGATATCTGTACCCCAAAAAAGAGTTAACATTTATAAGTAAGATTTAGCTCTCTTCAGGCTCAGTGAGTCGTAAGCACAGACAATGCACTGGCTGTTCAAGTGTGTAGACTTTGCTTTAAATAACATTGTTTAACAAAATAAAGACTATATATTTGTGGTTGCACTTGACATAGTAAAATTTAAATGTTTGCAGTATATTTTTCTTAACCTTTTGGGAGTTTTGTTTGTTTTTTGGGTGGTGCTTCTGCTGAGCTCATGCCAAACCGGTACGCTACCTCTGACCTACATCCATGTTGAACATGCTTGAAAACCTGATTAATAGTTATATATGACCAAATGTATAATTGATAATGTGAAATAGGAAGAAAAGGTCTGTAGGGGAAAGGAAAAAATAGCAGAAAAGGAAAAAATGGAAACAAAATCTTTGTAAGTAGGGGAAGGGTGGAGGGGGGTGAAGGGAGTGCAGGGGTAAGGGGCAAAAATAAGAACGAAGATCTATCATGTAAAGGTTCAAGATCCCAATGATGAGTGTAACTGTACTGTATACCTAAAGTGTACCAATAAACTTAATGAAAACTAAATAAAAATTTTTAAAAAGACTGAGACATAAAAATAGTTATATGTGATACTGCACAACTTAATTTTTTAAAAAGGAATACTCTTCTATTGAACGTTCATCTCAGCTTTCCCTGTAGAACTCCAAAATAAATACCCTTTTACCTCATCTTTGATTATTTCCTTAATATAGATTCCTGGAATGGAGTTGATGGGCTGAGATAGCCTTGGTTCATATTCTGAGTTTGAACTGAACTCGTTTGTCTCATTTGATACTCCAGCTGTGCAGCATGGTCGCCATGAAATCAAGGCAAAGTGAACGGCACATTAGTTTCTGAATTCCCTCTATTTTGTCAAAATGATGAACTTTAGAATAGGCCATTCTCACCCCTGTACTGAGCAGTTTCCCTCCCCATCTGGTGGGTGGGAAAGCTTTAAATTTCTGGATCCTTAGTGTCTATATTCAAATCTAACCAAGTTGGGAAAAATTGAAATTAAATTCCAAGCCTAAATGAAGGATGGTGAACATAGGATCATGTGGTTGTTGAGTTTGATCTTTGGAGAAAATTGCTGGAAAGAGCAGTTGCTATGGCCCCAGCACGTTAAGTGCTTAGCGTGTGGGTGGTTTTTAGAGCAGTAATATGAAATGGAGAGATTCTTCAGAGGATACTTGATCTTTTATTATATGGATTCATATATGTTTACTTTATATATACAGTGTAACATTATTACAATAATCCATTTATACTTATTAAGCATATGTATAGGTGGGATTTTATCATATGAGCAAGAACAGTGTTTACAAAAGTACCGTTTTAGATCATAGTGAAATGAAGGCAAGGTTGGAGATCTGCTTTCTCCTGTTAGGGCCTTTTAGTCCTAAACTGAAATAATGTAGGTTATATCTCATCTTCCTTTCCTCCTCTTTCTTACAGAGATTTGCCCCGCAAAGTGGGAAATTCTGTATAAATGTATTATCACTACGCGAAAGTTCCAAATGCTTATTTTCCCCACCCCAGCCCAGAATGTGATTTAATAACAGCAACAGCCAGGCATGATGGTGCACACCTATAATCCCAGCACTTAGGAGAGTGAGGCAGGAGGATCACCACAAGTTCAGGCCAGCCTGAACTGCATAGCAAGACCTTCTCCCAAGAAAATCAAAGTAAAGTCTTTGTTCTAATATTCACCATCACTATTTAAAATCACTGATGTCTTTAGCATTATTTAGCTCCTCTACTGAACACTCCACAAGTTGTGTGTGTGTATCTCCATTTTCCATGAAGTATTTATATGGAGGAAAGACATTGGATATAATTTTTTTAAGCATTTTGTCAACTTTCTTGTAGTCTTTTCTATAATGAATTTTTGCTATAATAAACTTCATACTGAACTTCTGCTATAATAATTCTTAAGGAGATTAGACTCTCGGGTGATTTTTCAAACTCACATGCCCAGGTCCCCTTCCTTAAGATACATGTAATTTGCTAAAATTCCCTAGGTGTCCTTGAGATTTTTTTTGTTTTAGACAGGATCTCACTACGTAGTTCAGTCTGGCCTGGAACTTACTATGTAGCCCAGGGTGGTCTCGAACTCATGGAGATCTGCTGCCTTACCCCCAAGCTCTGGGATTATAGGCATGTGCCACCACATGTGGCTGAGATTTTATTTCTTCCTCATTCCACTAAAAAAATTACTCTTATAATTCTTAGACCTAGGTCCTTAGTCTAAAGTAACTTAACAAAAACCCATATGAGAAGAGAATAATTTTAAAAAATAATAAGATTTCATTTTCAGTTAAGGGGGCCAGGGATTTAGCTCAGTGGTGCCACTGCCTGCGACTTCATAAGCGTAAGGTCCTCCCTGGTACCAGAAAAGAAACATTTTCAGTTAAGGGATCCATTATAATTGATCAAAATAATCATTTATCAAGAAATAGCTATTATGAATTTGCATAATAGCAATTTAAGTATTAAAAACTAGCAAATTTTTTGCAATAGTTTCAAATAATTATAGGACTGACCTGACCTGGAAAAGCTGAAGCACATTGCAAATAATGGACTAGTAGTGTGGGAAAGGCAGACAGACCTGGCTTAGCCACTTGGAACTAAAATCTTGCAGATTTTCTACAGCCTGTCAGAATTTCATCTGTAAAGGCACAGAAGTTGGGTCATTAGATCAGACCTTGACTGTTCTCTCAAAAATTTATTTTAAAAGCGCTGGAGATGTAGCTTAGTGCAAAAGCCCTGGGTTCAGTCCCTCAAACCACACACACACACACACACAAGAAATTTCTCTACCTTTAGGTCTTCGTGAAGCTCAGAAAAATAGAAGTTCTAAGCAAATTTTCTGACAGGAATCCAAGTGTTCTGATTTTCTCTAGGATTCCAGAATATAGTTAGAAGGTGACCAGTACACAGTCTTCGAATTCATTGGAGATTGGGCACTTATACGGTTGGGCACTTTTATGCGACTCCAGTCCCCTGTCGCCTTCTAGCCCTCAGTTCTTGCTCTGTGTATGATGGAATTGGACTAGAACAGCTAAGTCTCTTCTAGTGCTCAGATTCTGACCGCACTGATTTTCTCAGTTCAAAAGGAAGCAACGATCTATTCTTTCCTTAGTCTTCTTGGTTAATTTTCCACATAATTGGCGTAGCCGGGGTTTTTATTTAGCTTGGCTCACTCAGCTGGGAACTTTGAGAACAGAGCCCTGGTAGTGCCGTGGAGATGCTCTGAAATGGTAGGGTTCAGTCCCTGCCCTGACTCCGCAGACTCAAGGCGTACTATAAACAAATACTTGTTACTTTGGAACATGGGCAAGTGTTTTGTTTGTTCCAGTGCTGGGGATTGAGTCCAGGGCCCTGGACGAGCTAGGCAAGCTCCCCACTACGGAGCTACGCCCCAGCCCCCCGTTTGAGCTCTAGTTGGAAGAGAGAGCTTTGTCTACCATGAAGCACCAGGAGCAAAAGAATACATTTCCACAGAGGTTTACTTAAAAGACAAAAGATGACCTACCTTAAAAGAACAGAAACATAATGAAAGCACCCTCCAGTCTGGCCAATCCGAACAAGTACCTGTGGCACTAAGGACTGGCTGGGAAAATGATTTTCTGTGAACAAGGCATAGGCTGCAGCAGTGCTTCAGGAAGCTGCAAACTACAAAGTCAGAACCAGCCTGGGCTGGGCTTGGCTGGGCTCAGCACCACTGACCCACATGCCTGGTGATGGGAAAGTGACGCTGCTGTAGTTATAGTTCTCTCAGGAGGCCTTGGGCAGCTGAAACCATCATGGGAGGTTGCTGAGGGCCTTTCTTGGAAGGAGCCCACCAAACCAAGCTCCTAGGAGAAGGCAGCCACGATCAGCTTACCCCTAGTCAAACTTCACTTTTAAAGCTAAAACTTTACTTATTCAACTGGTCCTTGTATTTTTCACCCTCAGGGCAGCTGTAGCAGGGAAGTTAGCAATGTTGCTTTTGTTTTGTTTTCTTTTTCAGCACTGGAGATTAAACTCAGCTTTCAGGCTGAGCTGCATACCCAGCCCTTTTGTTGTTTTGTTTTTTATTTTTTATTTTTTTGGTTTTTTGAGACAGGGTCTCACTATATAGCCCAGGCTACATAATGCATCAGCTAATCTGGTCCAAACCTACAAGCTTTTATACCTAGCGTGGTAAACAGAGACAGACTTTCTTTTTTTTTGGTACGGGAATCGAACTTGGGTCCTTGTACTTTCGGGGCAGGTGTTGGAGAACCGAACTCAGCGATCCTCCTGCCTCAGCCTCCTGAGTGCTGGGATTACAGGCGTGTGCCACCATGCCCAGCGTTTTGTTGTTTTTAAATTTCAAGAAGGTATTCCCTAAATTGCTAAATTGCCCAGGCTGGCCTTGAACTTGGGATCTTCCTGCCTCAGCCCCCCAGGCAATGTTATTGTTTATAGTTGCACATCCCAAATGTCTAAGATCATTCATTGTTACATTGCTTGTAACAGTGAAAGATTGGAAACAACCTAAATGCCCATTAATACAGAGCCAACTATTTAAATAAAGGTATGTCCTTGTAATAGAATGTATAGCCGTGAAATAGAACAGGGCAGTTTTCTCCACTGGAGAAAGTCCAAATTATAGGATTATAAAATGGTTAAAGCTGAAGAGATTTTTGTTTTGTTCCGTTCTGTTTGTCTTTGCGTGGTGTTTAGAATTGAATCTAGGGCCTCATGCATGCTAGGCAAGCACTGTACCACTGAGTTCTACAGCCGGTCCCATGGAGAGTTCTTAGAGATTAGTTCAGTCGCTTACAAGAAACAAAAAGAAAATGACTTGGCTCAGATCATACAGTCAGGGCGGAGGCCATAGTTTAGGGGTCCTGGCACCTATTCCCCTGGCTGCTTCCACAGGCCATGCTGTTGCTAATGAACCTGTTAACCTCTGGGGTGCCAAGGGATGCAAGGTGTTTGTGGCTCTACCGAAATGGAAACCGGGTAAAGGCAGTCACTACCGTACTTACCTACCCCATACATTTTACATTGCACTTGCTGCTTTTCCGTGCTGGGATTACAGGAGTGCACCACCAGGCCAGGTCCCTTGCTACTGCTTCCTTTTTTTTTCTTTTTTCTGTTATGAAAGATCAAACTCGGACCTCGCACTTGTCAGGCAGGTGTGGCACCGCTGAGCCACATTCCTGGCCCTCCCTTCCCTTCCTTCTTAAAATTGTAAAACTCTTGTCTCTAGGGCCTAGGATTTAGCTCAGTGGTTCTGCCACCTGCCTCACAAGGACCCAAGTTCGATCCCTGGTACCAAAAAAAAAAAAAACTCTCTGTTCACCACACAAGGTATAAAAGCTTGTGGATTTGGGCCAGATTAGCTGATACATTGGCATAGTAACTCCTATGAAAGTTTCCCTCAGAAATAGACAGATGGTTTTGCTGAAACTAATTCTAAGTACAATATGGAACATTCGCCATAGGAAAGAGAATCTTATTTGTAAATAATAATTCTAAAATGTTTCTGAAACTTTTCAACCCTTGATATTAGGAGAGCCTCAGAATCTTGGATGTTCTTTCCACACTAGAGGTAGCCCTGTCGTGCTTGCTTCAAGTTAATTTGGGAGAGGCTGGGCATGATGGTTCATGTCAGTAATCCCAGCACATGGGAGGCTGAGGCAGGAGGATGACCATAAGCTTGAGGCCAGCCTGGGTTACATAGTCAGTTCAAGGCCAGGCTGAACTACATGGTGAGGCCCTGTCAAAAAAAAAAAAAAAAAAAAATGGGAGAAGAGGTGATTTTCTATTCCAGACAATACCCCCCTTCTATAAGTCTCCTGTGTTCTCCTATCACATTGTAGACATGAGAAATTTCCAAGATGTTAGTTTGCTGTCATGCTGACACCAGTACATATGGGCAGATCCCCAAATCACATAAGGAGTTTTGTTTTTGTTTCTGAAAAATGTTTCTATGGGTGGATAACTGTTTCTACTCCACAATGCACTAGTTGTCACAAACGACCAAGAAACATACAGGAAAGACACCTGGGTAAAACAAACCATCTGCCATCTTCCTTTCCATGCTGGGAAATTAAACATATGGCTACAATATGCTTGGATAAAGGAAGGTGGGAGTTGGTTTTAAAAACTTTAACCATAATGAATATCAGATCAATCCTGGATAGTTTAAAATCTTCCAGAATGAGAACAAATTCCTAGCAGTTAGCTGGGCGTGGTGGCGCACGCCTCTAATCCCAGCACTCGGGAGGCTGAGGCAGGAGGATCGCTGTGAGTTCAAGACCAGCCTGGGCTACATAGTGAGTTCCAGGTTAGTCTCAACTACATAGTGAGACCCTGTCTCAAAAAAACAAAAAAATCCCTAGCAGTTGCAAACATAGCATATGGAAATGCAAAGTAGATGGGGTTAAGATTCTTTTTATCTAGGCTGGGGATTTAGCTCAGTGGTTCTGCCACCTGCCTTGCAAGCTCAAGGTCCTGAGTTTGATCCCCAGTACAAAAAAAATTATTTCATCTCTTTTCTGATTCTAAGCAGTAAGCTAGACAAGAACGCTTGCTTGAATCAAATTCCTGTGTTCACGTATCTCTTTTCTAGCCATACTTGCTCTAGTTTAAGTAAAGAATCTTCCAAGATTGCCAGCTGAACAGATGGTTATTGTTTTTTTTTAAATGCAATGCTTAAAAAAAAAAGCCAGCCATGGAGGCACACACCTATGATCCCAGCACTTGGGAGGCTGAGGCAGGAGTATTGCCATGAGCTTGAGGCCAGCCTGGGTTACATAGTATTTTCAAAGGCCAGCCTGAACTAATAGTGAGACCTTGTCTCAGAAAAGCAAAAAAGTAAGTGAATAAATAAAAATAATTTTTAAAAAATTTTAAATGCAACACTGGAGATCAGACCCAGGGCTTTGCACAGGCTGAGGAAGCGCTCCACAGCTGAGCTACACCCCTACCTCAGCTGCTTGGGTCTTCAGGTGAAAGGTGCTCTGAGACCTCAGCATGTAAAGAGGATGAAAGTGAAGAGACAGCGTTTCATATCAGAAGGCCTCGCCTCAGCTGACCAACAGGGACCTGCAAGCTTCTGTGGGAACGAAAGCCCGGTGGGTGTTGAGATAATGATGGATGTTCCTTATTTCAGGAAGCTGGGGACAACAACCAGTTCTGCTGGAGGAACCTCTTTTCTTGCATCAACCTCCTGAGGCTGCTCAATAAACTGACCAAATGGAAGCATTCCAGGACCATGGTGAGTGGGGCTTCTGATCACGGAGGTGTCCATCTGAGTGAACTTTGTAACCACTAGTAAATGTTTGTGACCTGCCTGCTTGGCGAGACCGATACACTGCTGTGGAAGTTTCATCGTCTCCTAGTTCTGGGCCCTTTACACTAAATAAAATGATGACATACCGGTCCATTTGTACTCAGGGAGCTGAATGTGGATCTTCCTCCCTTAGGCTAGCTCTGGTCAGGCCAAATTAGCCGTGTGTGATTACAGTCACGCGTCCCACACGCCGTATGTGAGTCTGCTCATACAGCGCCATTTGTGATGAGAGATTAGAAGCTACCTAAATGCCCATTAACACAAGACTATCTGGTTAAATAAATGGCATCCCCTTATAACAGAGTATTACATAACCACTAAAAACAATGTTATGTATTGGTATGGAATAATCTTCAAAATACATTATTAAATAAAAGATACAGAACAGTGTGACACACTATGTAATTGGCCATTATTTGTGTTAAAAAGCAAAAGTTATATGTGCATACTTAGTTATTTCCAGAAGAAACACAAGAAATTGCTAACAGTGGAAGTGGGAGGTATGACGGACACAAATTCTGTCCTTTAACCCACAGACACATTGGGCACACTGAGAGGTGTGTCTTCTGTATATTTTTTAAATTTAATATTTAGTTAGTTCTAGGGATTGAACCTAGGGCCTTCACATTAGTCTACACCCATAGGCCTTTCTTTTGAGACAGGGTCTTAAGTTGCCTAGGCTGGGCTCGAAACTTGCAGTCTTCCTGCCTCAGTCTCCCAAGTTGCACAGATTAGATGCATGCGCCACCACAGCTGGCTTTATATGTTTTTAAAAACTAAATCAGGTAAAGTCTAGAATTTATATTCCCAAAAGTTCCCCAGGGGTACATGAGGCTAGCCAGGTTTGTGTTTCTTTTTTTTTTTTCTTTTTCTTTTTTATCAGTACATATTTATAGTAACACACCTTAATACTTTTTTCATCCCCTTTACCTCTCCTCTCTCTCACCTCCCTCCATCTCTTGGTCCTCCTCCCATTTGCAAAAAGATCTTCCCTGTTTCCTATTATCTACCTTTTATTTTGCTGTTTACTTATATTTGGGAGCCCGTGCAATGTTGAGGCTTGAATGTCTCATTTGTTTCACTTAACACTGTGGTTTAAAGGTGGATTCATTTTCCAACAAATGACTCAAGTTTATTCTTTCTGGAAGAGAAGAACTCCAGTGTGTGTAAATACCACATTTCCTTTATCTTGTCATCTGCTGATGGACACATAGGCAGTTCCCTGTATTTGGCTGTTATGAGTCGTGCTGCTATAAATAGGGGTGCGCAGTTTGTCTTCATTTGTATGTAAATTGGAGATTCCAAGAAACTTTACGTCTTTAATGGGCCTTTCTTTGCTCTCACTGTTCTTTCATTGGGCAGATGCTGGTAGTATTTAAATCAGCTCCAATCTTAAAGCGGGCCCTCAAGGTCAAACAGGCCATGTTGCAACTTTACGTCTTGAAGTTGCTAAAGATACAGACCAAGTACCTGGGGCGCCAGTGGAGGAAAAGCAACATGAAAACTATGTCCGCCATTTACCAGAAAGTGCGCCACCGCATGAATGATGACTGGGCTTATGGGAATGGTGAGTATTCTCAGAGCATTTGACTTCCAGGAATTGCCTGGGCTCAAGCAAGACTAAAGAGACATTTATCTCTACTTTTTTTGATGTGAATTTTTTAGATTGAATTTTTCAGATGAAAACTATGTGATTATAGATTAGATGATGTTACATCAAACTTAATGAAGTGCCCCAAATTCTAGCATGCACTTTGTCCTACGTGTCTGTGAACCCCGCTTTATAAAACAAGTCAGTTAATACTTTTAAAAAGCTAGAATAAGCCGCGCGTGGTGGCGCATGCCTGTAATCCCAGCACTCGGGAGGCTGAGGCAGGAGGGTGGTTGTGAATTCAAGACCAGCCTGGGCTACACAGTGAGTTCCAGGTCAGTCTCAACTACATTGTAAGACCCTGTCTCAAAAAAAAAAATCCTAGAATAAAGAGTATTGATTATTTTTACTACAAAGAAATGATGTTTGAGGAGATAGGTTTAATCATCAAATTCAGTTGTGCTACCCAGAGATTGCCAATGTTAATATCTTATTGTATATTCTTCCAAATGTTTTTCTATGCTTATTTTATTAAAGTGAAAGGAATTAGTACATACTACTTTATAACCTTTTTTTTTCTTTTTATTGAGTTTATTGGTACAATCTAGGTATACAATACAGTTACATTCATCATTGGGATTCTGTACCTTTACATAATAGGTCTTGGTTCTCATTTTTTCCCCTTGTCCCTGCCCTCCCTTCACCCCCTCCTCCCCTCCCCATTTACAAACACTTTATTTCCATTTTTTCAGTTTCTCATATTTTTTTCCCTCTCCCTTATTACCTTTCCCCCACCCTTCCCACTTTCCCTACACCTTTAGCCCTTTACTTCCTATTTCACATTATTAATTATCTCATTAGGATCCTGTGTACTATTATAGTTTTTCACACCAAAGAAACTATTCGGTATTTCAGTTAAAGAAATCTCTGTATGA